GTTGGGATCCGCAGTTAAGATCCGCTTCGTCGATCCCGTCGGGCTCGTCGTAGCCCTTCCAATGTACCAGGAATTTTCGATAAGTCCGGTCGTACCGCGTCCTTCGACCCGTCCGCATATCCGTGATCTTCTCCACTTCGTACTCGTTCGAGTCCCGATCTGGGGCCCAGCTGTTCTCCGGAAGTAAGACTTCGTCGAAATCAAGTCGATCTGCTTCGTCCACTCTGAGCGCGATCCTCGGTCGATCGGGGAAGTCCCTGACCAGCTTCAGCTTCGACACATGCACGATCGGGAACAGGTGATAGTCCTTACCAGCGATCTGAAGCTTCATTGTGTACTCGTTTACCTACTTCGCAACACGGAACGGGCTGTACCACAGGTGAGCCAGCTTTCGGGCATACCCCTCTTTCACGCGATCCAGGTACAGCCACACCTGGGATCCAGCCTCAATCGAGTGCGGTCGAACATCTTCATTGTGTCGGTCGGCCCGATCCGCGATCGCCTCGCGTAGCCGAGCATTCACCTGACTTTGGGCCTGATCGTAGTGTCTCTGGATCCGATAACGCCACCGTCGACGATTCGGATCCCGAGTCCGAGGGATACCCAAAGGTATCGTCGCTTTGAGCGTCGATCGGGTATCCCAACTATGCACCAGATAAAAAGGGGAGTCTCCGCGGACTCGATCTTGAGCCGTGTTGGTCGCGAAGGTCAATCGCTCTGCGTACTCATCCCAATCTCTCTGATCCAGATTCTCCACGAACATCTTTAGGGATCTCGTCGCCGTCTGTACCATTCGCTCTGCAGTACCGTTAGCTTGCGGTCGATATGCCTTCGTCGCTCGCTTACGCATACCCAGGATCTTGTTGAAGGCGCGGAAGAAGTCGGCCATAAATCCCGGTTCGCGATCATGGCTGATCACCTCGCTAGCACCAAATCGCCGGAACACGCACTCTTCGTAAGCCTCGGCGATCGTCTGCGCCGTTCGGGACGAACTGGCCTTCGCGATCACGTATCCTGTGAACAGATCTACCCAGATCAACGGTTCGGTATTACCCTTGTACGACTTGGGTAGCGAAGATATGAGATTTATTGCTATGATCTGGAACGGGTATGTTGCCTGGATGTTTCCCGGCGACTCGCCCCTGATCGGGGGTCGTCCTTTGCCGGTCTCGCAGTCGACACATTCACCGACGTACTTCTGCACACTCCTGAAGAGACCTCTCCAGTGAAAGTAATCGCGGATCCGCTGATAGGTACGCCCGATCCCCTGGTGTCCACCTTCCAGAGTGGAGTGGTAGTGATGCAGGATATCTTGATGCAGCGTCCCCGGCGCAACCAGTCTCATCAGCCCATGTCGATCTGCCTCCGACCGTTTGGAGCAGATTATCACCGTCGATCTCGTAATCCGCTGCGATGTTGCCATAGGATCGAGGCTCATCCTGCGTCAGATCAGCCACATCTCCTATCAGGTACTTCGTCATACCCGCGATCCACCTTGAGCTCGACGAATTCGATCGATCCGCAACCCTCGCACGGACTCCTCCTGTATGACGGTCGGGTTCGACCGTGATCTGGCGCCCGATCGGGTGGTCATCGGCGCTAGTCGGGCGATCGACTCATCCGATCGAACAACCAGGATCTTATCAAGTCGGTTCAGTGTCACTAGATCCCCATGATCGACCTCATCCTCGACGACGATGCCCCCTTCACGTTGGAGGGCTGCACTGGCCAGGCTGTCCGCACTTCCGTTCCAGTCTCGTTTCACATGTAACAGCTCGTGATCTGGCCAGTTCCGTAGCAGGTCCAGCACCTTCTGCTTTAACAATGTCAGCTTAGGTGCTTTGCAGTCGATCTTGCCCCGTACTTGCCGCATCACCAGGTTGGAATCATCGCAGACCACTAACCTGCCTCGATCTACGCCGTCAAGGAGGTCGAAACCCAACAGACCATGATAATCCGCCTCGTTAACAGTCAACCCTTCAGCATAGCCCGATCGTGCCTTCACCACACTCCATTCGGGTAACCTCCACAAGATCGCGCTGTACGCGCCCCCGCCTCGCTTGACGCGGGCGGATCCATCGAAACATATCACCAGCAGCTCTTCATCCACGCGCACAGTCGGGAACGGGGCTTGAATCTTCCGCCGGGGTTCGTTCTTCGGCGCGATCGCGATCAACGGGTCGTCCAGATCCGATCGAGGCGTAATACTAGCGGCGATCGCCCCCAATATCTCGTCCTCTTCCTTGGTGCACTTCGTGATCTCCAGTGTCCAGGGCGATAGAAGTGCAGCCCACTGACCCAATCGGCCTTGAAGACCGGGTGATCGGAACAGCCACGCCAACGTCGAGTGTCGGGTCAAGACCCGGACCGATCGTCCAACCAGCATATTACAGTTCAGGTCCAGGATCCGTAACAGCGCCAGGACTTCTTTCTCCACCACATTGTAGTTCAATTCATTCGACTTCAGCGTTCGACTGGCGAAGGTAACGGGATGATAGATCTGATCGTGCTCCTGCATCAATGCGGCCGAGATCGCCCAGTCACTCGCATACCGGAGTCCGATCGCGATCGAAGTGCCGCAGGATCGGTGTCGTCGCGATCGAAGTGCCGCAGGATCGGTGTCGTCGCGATCTTTATCTTCAGGGTCGAAAAGGCACGATGAACACGGATCCATCGTTCATCGGCAACACCGACTTCATGAACTGATGGAGTCTGATCGGGGTTCACTGGGTCCGTATCCACTAAGTTCGGTACTTGACGATCCAGGATCTGGCGCAGATCGGGGCGTTTCTTCAGCTCGGCGAAGTCCACCTCGCGCAGTTCGTACAGGATCGCCGCGTAGATCGCGTAATCTTCCAATAAACGGCTGTAATAATTGAGGCTGCCAAAGAACGACTGCATCGATCGGAGCGATCCGGGGAACGGCAGATCAGTCAGAGCAGTGAGATCTTTCGGATTGGCCTCTAGCCCGTCGTTCGACACACGATGTCCCAGATAGTCCACCTTACGCATCCCCCAAGAGCTCTTCTCCACACTGATCGAGAGGTTCCACTTATCACAAGCGTCCAGCAGGTGATCCACACGCTCGCACAGCTCATCCCATGATCCGGCCGTCACGACAATGTCATCGATGTACGATCTGCGACCTAGCACTGATGGACGCCCCGGATCTTCTGGTTGTCCTGACTCGATCAAGTCCGTAGTGACTTCACAGTCTGACGATCGCGGGATCCTGGTGAACCCATACAACGCTTCGTCCCGAAGTCGCTGGTAGATCTGAGGAGCGTTCTTCAAGCCGAACGGCATCCGGTTCCACTCGAACAGACCCATGTGGGTGATAAAGGCCGAGATCGCACGAGCTCGATCGGTCATTGTCACCACCCAGAATCCACTAGCCATGCCCAAAGAGCAATACCAGAGTACCTTGTCCAGATCTTCCAGCAGATCGTTGATCAAGGGCATCGGATATACCATCAGCCTAGTTAGACTGTTGACGAGCCGATAGTCGATACAGAGTCGGATATCCACGCCGTTCTTCTTGATGATCACGACGATCGGCGAGGCCCACGGTGATCGAGATTTCCGAATCATCTTGGCTGACAATAGTCCCTTGATCAGCTCGGACACCTTCTCCACGAACTGAGGGGCAACTTTCCGGACACGTTGAGCGATCGGCTTCGCGTCGCCCACGTTGATGTCGCAGGTGACGCCCCGGGGGGAAGTGCATTGCCCTTGCCGATCAGCAGGTGATTCCTGTGCCAGATCTTCTTTCGCAGCCGATCGATCTCCCCCGGGGTGTTGAACTTCAGATCTCCCACCTTGATATCGTCGATCTTCACCTCATCTGTCGTCGAGATCACAATTTCAGGAAGCACAGCTAATTCACCTTCGACATCTTCTGCTGACAGATTCCCGCCCTCGTGGTAATGGACCTGATCATCAGCGCCAACATCTCGATCCGGTTCGGATGCAATGAGGTCGTCCCGATTTGAAGTGGGTTTGGCCTTCTTTTTCCAGCTGATCACCTCCAACGATCGACGAGCCTTCATCCACTTGCGGCAGTCGTTTAGATGCAGGCACACCGTCGACTGCTGTATCGTCACTTGATCTCGACTCTTCCACAGCTAAGACCGCAAAAAGGTGTGTCCGATCGGTACTCCCGCCCCCAAGATCTGGTTCGACGGCACAACCGTCGACCTGATCGGCCGATGGCAAGTGAGGGGACACGATTTCGCCTTTCTCGGCTGCTTTACCACCGGAATCCACATGATTTGGCTTCCCCTCTGGATCGCCAGCACGATCATCTTGCGGCTTCGCGTCATCTATCGGGGCATACGCTTGATCCGTGATCGGCGAAGGCTGTGAGTCCAGCCCCACCTGTTTCCGCTTTGGAGAGCATTCCTCCTCCGATCCGGAAGGTTCACACACCGACTCAACAGGATCCGACCGTGGGTCTGGTGGATCTCCGACGAGGACAGTTGAAGCTGACGACCCCGACTTCTCTGCCACGCGATCACCGTCCTGCAACGGTCCGCCCCCTGATCTAGGAGTATCAACGACGGCCACCCCCGGATCAGGACTCATTGCCTCCGGTTCGCTTGGTGGATCGGGTGGACTCGTCGATTGATCGATGATCGGGGATACCTTGCGTCTCTGGAGGATGACTCGGGGCGTTGGATAAATCGGTCCCTCGACGGCAGGTACTGGAGGTCCCGTTGGTGCCTCCTGGTCCATCTGCCGCGGCTTGAAAGGCTAGATTCTGCCATTCCATGAATCGACGAGATCCGATCGACACATATCCCGGGATCCGGGGTATCCGATCTCCAGCCAGCCACATCCCGACCCGTTAATTCCGATGCAAGACGAGGTCTTTGTCACTGATGTTGGTATCCTGGAGATATCTGGTCCTGCCGGGTCCTCTGACCACGGTCGGCACCCAGCGATCTCCACGGGTGATCCATAGCTTTTCTCGATCCGTCACATTCATTCGTAGCAGAAGCTCAATCGAATCCCCGATCGCGATCCGCATTCCCTGCTCCACACACACACGTGTCTGACATTGTCGTTGTACAGCTGGCGCCGCCCGCTAAGCTGGATCTTGACTTCGTCGGGGAGACAGATAGAGCCGTCCGCAAGATCGAGGTGGATCCCCGCTGGGACATAAAGCCCATACCCAGGATTGCCTCTTGTCCTGATAGATCGCCAACAAAAGGAGACGACGATCGGTACCCAGTGGACTCCATCCGCGGCGACGACGCGGGAGCTGGCGACACTAGATCTGGCACCTTCGGGTCCGGACTGTCCGCGATCACGTCGACCAAAGATCTCAACTTGTCGACCAATGTCTCGATTGCCGTCTGGATCGCATCGAGATCTTGATCGAAAAGGTCGTTTGCTTCAAAAGCGCCAGCCACGAAGCCGGCTTCCTCCAACAGCCTGAGCAGGTTCTTCACCGCCGTCAGCTTGTTGTCCGTCGCTCGGGGGGGCGAGATCGGGCCCTTCGGGTCGTCGATCTGCTCTGGCCGCACGGTCACCATGACAGGATCTTGACGTAAGAAGTCTCGCAATTCCTTCAAGTGATACTGTCGATCCAGGTCAGCCTCGGACCAGTCGAGCGCCGACGGTCTGGGATCTTCGTCGTCTAGGCCTGGCGCTCTCAGCTTCTTCCGCACGATCTGGGCCTTGTCCACGATCGCGTCCAGGTAGTCCGGATCGAGCCTGATCGGTGAGTCAGCGAACGCGTATCGGTCCGATCCCGCCTTAGTTTGTTTTGTTAATGAATCTCGGTTCACACCAAGATCCACCGGGGTCCCCGAAGGGACCTGGGGAGGATGTTGAGGTTTGTCTTCTAGATCTATCTCCAGATTGCCCTCGATTCCGTCGTGAATAATACTTCGAGCTGTCGTCTGGTTTCACGACGATCTCATTCGTACGTCCCAGTGGGTTTGAGCAAAACACGCTTAAGGGAAATCCTCGAGATGTTGCTCTTCTAGTGTGTGAGCGTCGGCACAGGGTGGAATCACTGGTAGAGCTGTCGACGTCCGGTGTTATCGAAGATTAACACCCAGACGTCGAAAGTCGCCAACCCACCCGCTTGGTCACTATTTTGAAATAGTGAGATGCCACTTGTTCATTGCATGTGGCAGGTTGTAGCATGTAAAATTAGCTTGACTACCGTATAGACTCAGGAACGCTAGATTGCCACCTTCCAAGGGATTAGATTCTCTACCCTTAGGCCTACACGCAGATACCAGGTAGTATCAGATAGCAAAGCTCTCTTGGTCGCGTGCTGTGCCGCTTGTCCTGTGTCAGCGAACTCACATCGCCTCCACGTTGCATTCCCATAGCTTGCAGGAAGCCCACAACTTTGTGGTGACAGACATGCCGCCAACGTGGCCAAGTTGATGGTCAACTCAACTGACCCCTTCGCCGAGTAGGCTCGTACGACTGCGGCAGTGACCAGTCTCGTGACGCCGAACGGGAGGAAGAGAACAGCTCCATTCACCCTAATGGGGTCAGAAGCCAAGCCCATCGATGACCCCAGAGACGCCTGTTTACCCATCGGCTCGCGCCGGTCTAGATGCTACTGCTGAAGTCCGCAAGAGTGCAAGCACCGGCCAGACGTGACCTCGCATATCAACATCGGAATGAGCTTCCATGCTCACGGGCCCGTGAGTGTGGACTTCGCTCATCCTCCAATCCGACGTGGGCGTCGGATTGGAGGATGAGGCCGACAACAGACCACTGGTCGTTGATCTAAAGTTCGCGGGAAATAGACGGCGTTCCGGCATTTGAGATCTTGTTCATCCCGATCACTTGATGTGGTGCAGATTGCTTCGTGACTGTGGCATCGACGAGCTAAGACATGGCATGCTCTTTGATAATTCTGATTGGCGCTCAAATAACATGTTTGGCCAATTATATGGCTTAATTTGGTAGGTATCAAGTGGGACGTCGATAACGATCCCTCACCAAGGTGTTGCTAGACGTCTAGTCGACGTCTAATCGCTGGAAGAACAACACCGACCGTTGAAGTGTATGTACCCAAAGCCCCCCTAAACTTCCTACGCCATTTTCCTTTTTGCCGGGTTCAAGACGCTTATTCAAACTCTATCGGCCGTCATGGAGCTCACTTTGAAAATCGTCACGCTGGTGCTTCGTACGGCGACCAACGCCGATGCCCAACACGTCGGATCGCTCATCACGAGTTTCCTGCTTCCGACCCCGAACTTGTCGCTCACTCGCGCCATCAGCTTCAACTCGATCGAGTTACTGGATTCCATTTGGGATGCGAGCTGTACCTCCGTCGAGGAAAGAAGTCCCAGCTGGACCCTCATTAACTACCTCCGATCGGACCCGTGCTACTACCGATGGCAGTTCGCCGAGGCGATGAATGCAGCAATCAGCTGCAACAATTTGAGGATCGTGGAGTGGCTGTGGACACATTTCTCGTGGTGCGTTGTGCCTGCGCGCGCCATTAAATTGGCTGCGTCACAAGGCTGTCTGGACATTTTGAAGTTCCTGCAGGCTCACGACGCCGGGTATCTGGAGACGGTCGACAAGATGGACCAAAACAAAACTTCGGTGCCAGCTCACGGACGAGAGGGGAACGTAGTGGAATGGTCCTCGTACGCCATCCAATGTTCATTTCGGCACCTCGACATCGCCCTCTGGCTGTATGAGCACGTTCCTTTCTACAAGGGGTCTAAAAGCTTACTCGAACTCATTGGGCACATACTGGATGCTGGAGATATCGAGCGCGCAGAATCCTTGCTCCCAGCAGGGAAAAATATCTTTTACTACGCTAGATTTTGCTCGCGACCGGAGGTGGTGGAATGCATGCTGGGCCGTGGCTACTACTCGTCCAACGAGCAGAGGACTGCAAGTCTACTCTTACCTTCGTTGGCCGCTAAAGGCCGCTTGGATCTCCTGCAGCGGGTTGTTGACTTGTATCCTGCACCTCAAACGGACTTGTACAATTGGAGAGAACAGTGGTGGAGAGCGATGGAAGAAGCATGTCGCTGTAGTCACCTTGCTATTCTTCGGGTACTACTTAATCTCCCGACGGGGTGCATAATCTGTGGAAACCGGCCATACATGTACAGAGTCTGCGACCTCCTCCGTAAGGCTGGATATACCGGAAACGTTGAGGTGATGGAGTTCATCTACCAGCACGAGGCCATCCGGGTGTGTGATACAAATGTGAAGTATTCAGTAGCTACTGCGGGGAATGCGGAAGTTCTCGAGTGGACTATCGAACGATTCCCGAACTCACACAGCACTATCTCCACTTTGATGAGATGCTCTTCAAGAGCTAGAGTGACGAGCAAGAGCTGGGAGCACGTCCAGCTTGTGCAGTAGGCGGGAAGTGTCGAGCTGTCCATGCTCCGCAGCGCTCTCGATAATTCGGTCAGATGGTGGCCTCGCTCTTGTTGTGCCTTGGATGTGGCTGCCGCAACTGGACAATTAGCGGCTATCGAGTGGCTGCACATACATCGAGCCGAAACGTGCACAACCAACGCAATGGATAACGCAGCAGCAAATGGACATCTATCTGTCGTGCAATGGCTACATTGCCACCGAACAGAAGGATGCACTAACAAAGCGATGGACGGCGCTGCAGCCAAAGGACACCTAGAGGTAGTGCAGTGGTTGCACCGGAAACGTTCGGAAGGTTGTACGACAGATGCGATGGACCAAGCTGCGAAGAACGAGCATTTGGACATCGTCGAATGGCTGTGGGCCAATCGACCGGAACGGTGCACGACCAAAGCACTCGAAGGCGCAATTGGAAATGGACACTTGGGTGTTGCGTGCTGGTTAATGCAGCGGTTTCCCCTGGATATGCCCGCTAATGTCGATGTATCCAAGTCTGACGCTGGGAACGAGTTCGACATCCTGCTCTTTGTGCATTTCCACTTCAGTCGAGTATTGACGCCAAAGGTGGTGGCGAGACCAAAGCGGGAGTTTTCGAATAATTACTTCGAAACGACAGGTGACCGGCAGGTCGTTGGATGGCTTGATGGGAATTATTCGCGAAGTGAAGCAGAACAGCAGACATGAGTGTGCGGGTGCAGTTCGATGTTGTTGAGAGCATCTAACTAACAACTACTCAAGTAAAATCCTAACATTTTTTTATATACCGGATTTTGGGTTAAACTTGTTTTACTCTTCTTCTCGTTCTAAAAAAGCTGAAGCGCACCGATGTCCTTATTTTGTCGTCTTGTAGCATTCCCACAAGCATAGTGGCAGTCAGTCGTCGAAAAGGATCGAATTCGTCAATGAAATAGGCGTTGAATTAGAGGCTGCGTGAGGCAATCTAACCTTTCAGCTTGCACTGCGTAGTGGACAAGCCGTTATTCGTTGACTTCCGCCTTCATGATCTTCGAATGGCACGTAGCGAGCTGGAAAAGTATTCGTCGAGCCAAGCCAGAGCGAAGCTAGAGTTGTGAGTATCGACATGGCACGAACCCGAAAATTTCTTCCGAAGTTCTTGAAGAAATCCTGGCGTGAACACACCCGGATATACAACGCGTAGGAAGAGCAGCACCTCAAACAGATTATCGGCATACCCAGCGTCGACACGGAACACCTCACTTCTTGACACATCCTTGTAGCTTAGAGCAATGGCAGGGAACTTCTTGCTCAGCCAGAGCGCGAAGCGCACGTGGCCGGACAATAAAGCTTTCGCGATAGCGTCAGGTGTGCGAGACTCCGGGTGATTCACGTACAGCCACTTCACCACCTCAAAGTGTCCGTTGTTAGCAGCTACCTTCATAGCTCTCGTCGTGCATACGTTCGTCCTCTATGAATGCAGCCATTTCACCGTATTGAGGTGTCCACCGGATGCAGCAGCTTCTATAGCATGGACTCCACATTTTGCAGGGTAGTTTTCGTGCAGCCATTCGAGCACTGCTATCTAACCTCCTTCCGCGGCCGAGTAATGCGCTTTTTTGTCGCTACCCCAAATCAAATATTGTTGGCCTGTTCGCTTTCGTTTGAGTCCCACAACTCCATCTTTCGCGGGGGAATCCAACGTCTCGAACAGCTGCAAGATGTCCAACCGACCGTATCGTGCGGCGCTTGCAATGGCGTAGGATAATTGCGATTCTCCTTCCAGTAACTCATGATCCAGTAGCCCTTTCACGCTCTCAAATTGGTCCTTACAGACGCGATCGATCGTATCAAAGCTCACGCCTCTCTCGTTGAAAGCCCTTTCCTCCAGCAAATACTCCATCACAACCACATGCCCTCTCGTAGCAGCACTGTCCACTAATTGAGCACGCAATATTATACAAGTACACTCTTCTTCATACCCCAATGGATGCTTCATCAGCCATTGTAGCACAAGCAACTTGCCGTGATCGCATGCTGTTAGCAGCGAGTTGCGCCAAGCCTTCTTCCAACACGCATGATCTTCTTTGAGGGGCGAGAAAAGCTGGAAAAGCTGCTGCATCACGTCCAGTCTTCCTGTCGCTGCTAAGGAAGCGACAACGTCTGAAATACGATCTTCATCCCACCGAAAATGTTCAAACCGAAGCATCTCTTCAATCATTTCAGGCGGTGGGCACCAGGGGGCATAGTTCGCAAAGCATTTCCCACTTGGCAGTAGCAGCGCACCAAGCGCGTAATCGCCGAGCGTCAATGCGTGAGAGATAGCAACCTTTTGGTCGTTGTCTTCAAACTGCATGCCATCGTTTAGACACTGGATAAACTGCCCATTCTCAATAGCTCGCTTGATCACAGTGTGTCCCCAACTCCTCGCGGTATAAGTATACTGAACTCGTACAGTTCACGGGCGTTCATCGGCACGAGGTCCCTTCAGAGCTTTATCAAACATAGTTGGCTCCTGGCTATTGCCCACTAGCGTCTCTGACCGGCGCTCCCATAGAAACCGAAACACGCGAAGATGACCACGGCTTGCAGCAGCCGCTAGCAGCTTCTCCCCGGACACTTCACAACCGAAGAAGTGAGCAAACAGCCACTCCACTATCACTACGTCACCTCGTTCAACCGCTACAAGTAGCGATTTAGCGAACTGCCAACGATGATAATGCTGATCGGAGCGCAGATAATTCGTGAGCGTCCTTCACGGAGATCGGTCCTCCACGCGAATGCAGCTCGCAGCCCAAATCCAGTCCAAAGTCGCAACTGTGCGAGAACGACAAGCCTCGCAAAGTGAGAGGCTTGGTGAGGGGCCAAAAAAGTTAGAGATCGTTCTGGAGCTGCACTCGAAGCTCTCCAGCTCGGGACATTGGCGCAGCGCGAGATTCACACATGCGAGCATTGCTCGGATTCGGAAAATGTGTAAATGGGTGGAAGGTCCAATTGCTAATGGTTGGAAGAAGAATCAAACTGGCCCGTATCCATCAATCTCTAAAACGTATCAAGAGCCTCTTCCAACCGCCTACATATCTGGTCAGTTCTTCTCATTGTTCACCGACCCACCAGTCTAGATTCTGTCGATCTAAACCCCAAATTGGGAGGGACCTTCCGAGGTCATTGGGATCAGAAAGATATCTCGCCAAAAGGTCACGCGATGGAGCGTACGTTCCTGCTGCCGTGGCTCGACGTACTGGGCAGGAATCTCGGCTTTCAGTCGAAGTCGCTCACGATTCTGGGGGCGTGCCAAACGCGGCACAATGATGACGAAGTTGCATTGTAGCACCACCGCTGCCGGGGTATCCGGGCGTGGGGGATGCCCCTAAACTTGATGCAATGCGGGCTTCTGCAGCATTTGCGACGCCATCCGCGATGTCAACTGCCCACTTATGCGCGTGTATCGTTCGACTGCGTCGGACTTCCATCTCCCAAACAGCTTCACTGCCAGACTATCAAAACCAGCATTAAACAGCGCCGTAGCGCCGCCACTTCGAAGGGAGTGCGAGGCGTAGTCTTGCGGATTATGGCCAGCTCGACCAGCAGCAGCCTTTATCGCTCTTACCACGTCGGATACTTGCAAATTGTGAGATGCATCCACCTTGCACAGTAACTCGCCCGCATCAATACGAAGCGCCTCGTGGTGACGAACTAGGTACCATGCTGCTAGTACAGGGCAACGCCACCGATGCCCAGATCTCGCCAATTCTCGAGAAGTACCCTTGCCAAATTGGTCGGATTTGCTCCCTCGAAATTGTAGAATCACCGAAGTCACATCATGAAGGTTTCGGGTCTCGTGGCCTCTATCATCCACAAATTTGACGTCCGCTCTCCGAATTGCGTAGTCGTGCATCCTTGAACCTTGAGCCAAATATTCGGATCTTCTCAAAAGAAAGAAGAAGCCCAGCACCGAAGCCCCCCCCAAATGACCCGGTGCTGGGCAACTGCGAAATCGAGGAGCTCATGCAGGCACTTGAGGATTGCGCTTGTAACGGGAGATTTTGGCTTGCTTGATGGGTCTTTCCGCCGCATTCCGGTGATAGCGAGTTGGTGGCCCGGCAAAAGGCCGACGTTGTAACCAAGGGTTCGCCTATGATGCCACGCAATATGGCTGACTTTTGAGAGCACGGTCGAGGCAGAATTCCCCGATCCCGATTTTCCCCAGCCATATTTCCAGCAGTACGTGGTGAAAAGGGCGAGCTGGTACGAATGTTGCCGGCGGTCTTCTGGCAGCCATTTTGCGAATTGAAGACGCTCACACCATCTACACCACTGTGTCCATGTGCTTGCATACTTGATCTTGGACGTCGTGGCCAGTGACTCGGACTGAAGAGATTCGAGAAGTCGATGTAAATTTTCCTGCATTCTTGTGGAACTTGTGTCTGCACCCAACACGAAGAAAAAATAGTCGATCGAGCAATGTAAGGTTCGGTCCAAGCTCGCGAAGCTGCATCAGCCATCCAATTGGCCGATCCTGGAATATGATCCGCCGATACTCGAAGGTTCAAATACACTTCAGCCAGACCAATCGCCCGATTTATTTCTTGGCTGAACGCGTTGTTGGAGTGCATCCGATTGCACCAAGTCACAGCTGCGGCATTGTCACTCCAACACTTGACATGAATTGTGTGTCCGTTCGCTTGTGCGCTCCACTTTGAACCCCACGACCACAACGCGATGGCAATGCACAAGTGTTCCCTGACATTGATTGAAAACTCGTCATGGCCGCTACCAACTTTGTCGATGAGCAATTTCTCTTCGTCATCAAACTGGATCTGTATATATGACTCGCAGGCGGGATCAAGCACGGCTAGCCCGAGGTTGGACGCGTCCATATACAGCTGCCGGCAGCTCGCCAAACATCGCAAGCGGTAATTCAGCAAAACAACCATGCATTAAAATGTGCCGAAACCAGACGGGATCTGTTTTGGCCCCTGCTGTAAGTTTAATTCTGCCGAACCGTGGTGCTGATGTACACAGTGTCTGCAATCGTTGGTAAAAAGGCTTGGCTGTTGGCAGCCACGTGGCGAAGAGAACCCAGTAGCTTGTACAGTTCGGATTTTGACGCTGTGCCGCGTTGCTCCACCGCACTGGTGCGAGCACGAGCTTTAGCGATCTTCTCTTCTGGTATCGATACGGTGCGGCGCTCGGTGTTCCATAGTAGACCCAGAACAACAATTTCCACACTCCATTCCGAAAATTTTGCCTCATTGATCGAACGGGGTCCTAAGACAGCCAACATAGCGTGTCGTAAAGTAGCTTCAGCGAGTTCTAACCTGTTCTGGACATCCGGTTCGACCAAGACATGGTCATCTACCCACTCGTAAGGAAAAAATGGGTTCGTGTCGCTCGAGTCGGACACCGCTGCAGGTGAACTTCTGCCCATTAGCCACGTGATGGCACGGCCAAAGAGTGCGTAGCAGGGGGGCGAACCTGACCAGCCAAATGGTGCCGCCATATCGACGACGAGAATGCCGAGTTCCTTCACATATGCCGCCATTCTGAAGACCTGGTTTGCGCGTGTTCTTAAGTGGCGAAAGGCACTCTTGACATCTCCCTTGAGGACGCGTATCCGGCCTGCATGCCCTGCTTTTGCTAAACTGCCGATGCGCCGTGCGATAACTACCACTGACTCGTATCTCACTTTGGGCACCGACTCGACAACAAATGCAGCGTTTACACAGTCGTCTTTTGGGTAGGATAAGTCGTGAATTGTGCGCACTTCCTCCATCGGGTCCACATCCTTCTTCTCAACAGCACCGAGCGGACTGCAGATTAGTTCTGGCCACCGCTCAATGATATCAGCATCAACTATCAAATATTGACCGGAGTCTTGGCCATCCCGAATGCTTCTTGTGACAGCACGTAGGTAACGTCGGCAGGAACCATGGTTCTTCGGTGGTGGCCGCGTCTCCACCCCACGTCGATGCCCTTCTCAGCAATTTCAACGAGTAGATCGAGATGATGATAGCCGTTAAGAACGGTCCGCAGCCGGACAGGATCGATGGCTTTGTTCGGTCTGCTGTCTACGCTATCTTCACCCAGCACAAATCGCGTAGCCTCTTCCAGGGACATATTGTGCGTGCGATTTACGGTGGATAGAGACTTGCAGGCTACTTCGTCAATTGCGTAGACAGGAGATGCGGGTCGCTTTGCACTAACGAACCCCCGTTTGCGGTGCAGGACGGAAATTCGAGCTTCGGCCCGAAGTAAATCCGCTTCCAAACATGATTGAATCTCTCGCGCCGAATCCAATGACAGACTAATGTGGGCGTGACTGCAACACCTCAACCGACAAACGCTTGCACCCTCCACCGGCAACTGCTGCGACCCAAGTGATTTTGAACGCAAGTCAGCTACCCGGGTGCAGGATACCTTGCCGGTCTCGCTCCTTGCGTCTGCCTCTGTGTCATAACAAGGCCTCGATTGACGACTGTCTGTGCAACCAGCAGCCATTGGCGCTGTCGGATTTACCGCAGATCCTGCCGACTGCGCACAAATTACCTCGCCAATCTTGCTCGTTGTTGTGGGTACCCTAATTTGAGTCGCGTGGGGGCCTTGATTGCACGCGTAATCTAGACTGGTCCAACACCGTCTGAGATCCATCACTTGAATTGATTGTGTTAACGCAGTTTGCTACTTGACCTCGCGCCACCCTATCGGCTTTGCATGGCACCGCCGACGGTCGGTCGTTTTGCGTTCGTGATGGATACATTGCCAGACCAGTCTGAACGAGTCATAACTCTTTGTGCTCGTCCTTCAGCCCACCAAAGCGCCTGTCAATCTCTTTTTTCACGATCGCGGGTAGCTGCTTGGGAACGAAATGCCCATGCTCGCTGGGACAACCGCCATCACTGTCCACCGCACAACCCGCCGCTGAGAGAAAACGCATGCACAGTCGTCGCGACTTTCCTGATGCGGGGTCGTTCTGCACTGGTAATTTGCGAAGTACTTCCTTAGGGATTCGCCCAAATCGCTTCTTACCGTCGTGGTTGCGGCCGTTGCGGAGCTGGGATCCTTGTTCAACGTGGCCCTCAAGGCGTGATGGTCCCGACATCATCTCGTGTCGTACATCCTGCACTTGCCGATGCACCTTTATAAACATCACATCCTTGAGCAACCGGTCATCGGTCGTACAACGTTGCTGTACGGCTCGAAGCTCACCACCTTCCTCAGCCGCTGTACGAAAATCCTCGAGAACGTCATTTACCCAGAAAACTAAGCTAGAAATCTCTTTTGGCGTCCACGATACCTGCGATAGCGTGTGTTCGGTGAACTTCACGATGGTCTCAATCAATTCGACCAGTTCAGCACAGCAAAACTCGCGAGCATAGGTGAGGAAAACCCTGGCAGAGTCCACAACATCTTCGATGCGCGATGCCGGCGATGCCGCCAAGAATCTGCAGTTGCGGACAAATTGTCAAAGTTTGAACCACCGGCCTCCAACCAAGCCACCCGCTCATCCCTCGATAGTCTTGCAAAGTGTCGAATCGAAAGACCACCAGAACCGAAACGAATATCATAGGCCCGCGTACAAATTCCAGGTACGGCTTTGAACTCCACGTGCTCGGACCGAACTAAACCTCTGCAAAACACATTGGCAGACTTACCTTTGTGCTTCTCCGTTGTTATGCGCTCGTGAACTAATTCCTGCTCCTCGGACGGTGCAAATGCGTACTTAGACGACTTCTTTCCCCTTGTCGTATTATGGCTTCTGCACGTGAGTACGCATGGTACCACCACCCTCCGCCGGCTGCGCTTTGACGTTGGCCTCCTTCCTAATCATCAAGAAACGCTCGAGAAGGTCCGGTTCGTCGCTTATTTTTGCGATAATCAACGCGTCTTGATCAATAGCGGTTTGAACTCGTTGTCGCTTGGAGGGGACGTGGCCATCGTCGCCGTTGGCAACCGTGACCTCTTGCTGTCGTTTTGTCACGTGTTGTGTGGTAGTGTTTGCCCGACCAACTTCAGCACCGCGTTCCGATTCGTCTTGGGGCGAGTCATCGTCGTCTGGAAACAGGTCAAAGAGCTCTTCCACGTCCTGAACCGAGCCGCGCGACAAAGCGGACGTGCTCCGAAGCGGTTGGGGCGTTGGTGGTTTGCAAAATGAGTTGCCTACGCTGCGTGGTACTGGTGACACCCCTCCGTCGACGTAAAAAGCGAAATTTATAGCGTGCTGGAGTCGAAAATGAGCTTCCTCTCCTGTTCTTGGGTCGATCCACTGACACACCTTGTCATCACTAGGGTGATTTTCCTCACTCATCAGACCTTCCAGTATCTCGGACACTTAATTTGAAGCAGAACTACCGCCGGTACCGATCAGCCGACTCAGAATTGACTGCTCCATCGCCTCTAGGTCAGTAGGACTCTACTCGTCGCTTCTGAACTCGACGTCTTCAAGCAACAGAAGAATCACTGGTGGCACCACTGACACTGCAGCTGCCGCTGCCACAAATTCATGACCACCGGATCGGATCGTGACACTGCTCTGGTCGACCGAGGTCACTTGTCCATACTGAGCCTCTCCAGCTAAACTGACGGACACGGGTCGTCGGAGCAACGAGATCTGACCGGCCTGGGAAACTTCACTGGCCCGAACCACGTGGTCTTCGGCGACGGCACGATCCAGTTTCCCTTCGCCTCCTTCCAAGCTGCGAAACGTCACCTCCTCCGAGTCTAGCTGTAAGACCTTAGCATAAATCGGATGCTCTGCTTCGAACTCCACCACTTCAGGTGTCAAGTGAAGGAAGGGGCGGCTTGTAAGTCTCACCATGACCAGAGTGCTGAAGGCTGAAAGCTAAAGCAGGAGGGCTTAAGCGGCAGACGGAGATTCTGAAACTAACGCTACGACCTCTACGACTGCTCCTAGCACTTGAGCGTTGGTTTCATCTCTGCTTTCTCTCCTCAAAAGCTATTTCCACCTTGAACTTGAAAATATCCAATCCAAGAACCCCCAGTACCGTGATTTCAAGTGCTGTCTGTCTGAATGGGACACAAAGGGCAGAGCCCACCGTGGTCGACGGGTCCATTATCCAGGTTTTTTCGACCGACAGCGCGAGTCAGAACCCACCGAGCTCACATGCTACGGGTTCGCGAGGCGGTCGAGCTGTTCAACTTGCTCTCTCTAGTGGACAATCCCTTGTTCGTGGACATGGTGTCGCTCTTCACGATCTCCGATAGGCACGATGAAGCGTCCAAAGTGTGTCCGACATGGAAGTTCCGGCTTATCGGCAAATTACCATCTGAAGACCCTATTACTTCCCAGATGTCTGTGTCATGGGGGCAACTTTTGGGGTCCCCAGAGGATCCGTGGAGGTATTCGGTGGAGTTTAGACGCGCGATGGACGTTTTAATGGGAATGGGCGAGGAGACTGGAGCGTCGTGGCACTCGTATGCTCGTGTGGAGCAAAGGGTGCCCCATGATGCTGTTCCAGTTTGGGGGTGGCAGCGGAATCCGTGGGGACGAAATGACAGCGGAGCAGTTCGCTCGGGCGCTTGGGAGACGGTTGGGGTTCGACGTTCCCTCTGTTGTCCACTTCTGCGCTCTTAGTGACGGCAGCGTCGTGCTGGAAAAAATGGAAAGGAGGAGAACCTAAACGCCAGGAGGAGCATCCGCTCGAAGTCCGAGTCTGGACTCTGAAGTCGGATTTCGCGGCGAGCGGCATCCCGGAGCTTACTACGGTGCTCGCTCGAGACGAACTGGCGTCGCTTGACTTGCGCCTCGATGACACGCTCACGAATCACCAGAAGCTGGGGCGTGCTGTTCACCACGATGATCTGTGGACAGTCGTTGTGTCGACTCCCCGGAGGTGCTTGTCAGGAGATCGTACGCTGCGGAAAACTCAATGATATCCGGCAGACTTACCCTTGGACTTCTGCTCTAACCATCGCGGGATTCTACTCCGCTGTCTCCATGTCCCCAGGAGATCAAGTAGCTGTCACAGATTATATTGAAGAAACGGATAATGATAGCGATGAGGACGAGGGGGAGGACGTGGATGCTAACGATCCTTTAACTACAGTGGCAATGGCTCGCGTACGCCGTGTGGAGCAAAGCAACTTCTTCTCGTGTATCACACGCCGATGTTGCCTTCACGAGTTTGACCGCCGCTGACGTGGTTGCTGTTGAAAGAGTGCTAAAGTGCGGCTTCCCCGAATCAGTCGTCGATGTTCCAGAGCCGCCAAAATACGGCTTAGTTGAGCTCCCTGAAGGAAGTACTTTTCAACCGCAGGGCTTGAATGATGGGGATGACACTACCTTTGTTCTCGAGCGTAGGTGTCGCTGTCGAGCGCAAGGCACTTCAGCCGCTCCAAGCGATCATCTGACCGCTGTAATTCCTGGCTACGGGATTTGCCGGGTCGTAGTCGAAGAGGGCATTGAATTTATTCCGGATAGCCAAGAGGAATTTGTCATTGGGGGAGAGAACTCTCGTCCGTGGAACTTTTTCAAGCTGTTTGTGGATCACATCGAAAGTATGGAGGTTTTAATGGGACTGTTGGATCTGGTGGGAGGCCGTCTAAGAGATTTATGGTGCGGAAACACCGGACAGGACCTCGTCACCGTGGATTTAAGTGCGATTGCAACTGCGTGTCCTCGCCTGAAGTCATTGTTCCTCTCGGATGTGAGCGTCACAATGTCCGATATCGACAATGAGGCTCTGTGTGCTTGGCCACTCCAGAAACTCGAGATCGAGGGGGTCGTCGATGATTTGGGGCCTTGTTTGAGTGACCTGGCGCACAATTTAGCTCGAAAACTCGTGGATCTGCGGCTGGATGTACCCAATGGATGGGACTTTAGTGAAGAACGAGAGGATAAGCTCAAGGCCCACAACGGCAAGTACCTACCCGTGGTGAAGGAAAAGCTTCCAATCCGGTCAAAGGCTGCAATGCTTAGCGTATTTTCCGGCGCGTTGAGTTCCTCGGGTAATAGCGTGGCAGTTGGGCACCTGGACCCGCACGCTTTGGAATTAATATTTGGCTTCGCTGCGACAGCAGCGAGACGATCGGTTACGATACTCAGAGACTCGGATAGGTTCTCGTCTGTAGTGATGGACGGCTAAAAGCAGATCTTGCTTCTTGTATTGCTACCCGTCAAAGAAACTTCGGACCGATCTTTGCCCAAGTATTTTTTTTACGGATGGAGATTTTGTGAGTTCATTGATTTCATTAATTTGGTCCTAGCAGCTCATCGGAGCCAATCTGCTACAGCATGGACATAGTGTTGCGTAGAGCGCAGAGAGATGACCACGAACGCAGCTCTCGCCCACTCAGCGAAATTTGGGATTGCGGGATCTCTGCGCCCAAGCACAGAGTCCGTTAGATATGGGCTACAGATTGCAATACAAAACTCAAGTAAGCTACAACGCAAAGCACGCCTACTTCAATCGGGGACAAGTAGAGCAGCCAACACGACAAACCCCACGTGTCGTTGCTCAATACTTCACACATAGTTTACTAGGCCGCGAGCGCCCCTGCACCTTCTTGACTGGTAACTCGACCTGCAAGTTCCTCCAGCCATTGTATCACGTAAATGCACTCCGCCGAAGAACCATATTTCCGAATGAATTTTGGTGTGGCTGCAATAACCCCGGGGGTGATCAAGTGAGGGTAGTGCGCGTACTGGAAGAGCAGCATCTCGAACTTGTCGCAGTTGTGCATGCGGACGCCATTCATACCGGCTGGAACGCACGCAGGGAATTCGTCATGGAGCCAGGACGCAATACGCAGCGGACCATTCAGCGTAGCATCCTGGACCATCTCGACAGTACACGTAAATCCGCCTGGTAGGTTTTTGTGTAGCCACTTCATCACATCTAAGCGCTTAAACGCTGCTGCCAAGCGCATTGTTTCCTGTCCACAACCCTCCAATCCATGGGCGTGCAGCCACTGCACCACCTCTAGATGTCCGTTAATTGCAGCATTGTGCAATGCGTTCTTGGTACGCCCTTCACTTGTACCGGTATTTTCGAACAGCCATTGTACAACTTCAAGGTGGCCACCACCAGCAGCATTGCCCAACGCATCCGTTCCGCAAACACTGCCAACATGATTTTCCAGTAGCCACTTGACTACTTCGAGGTGTCCTCCTCCTGCTGCAGAGGATATCGGGTCGCCAGTATGGGGCCACCATGCACCTTGGTGGCGTATCACGTTGACTGGACGGAAGTCAAGGAGGAACTTCAAAACCTCCAGTTGCCCAGATCCTGCGGCGACATCCACGGGGAAAAAGCCTGGGGGCTGGTGGGCATGCAAAAGTGCCTTAATCATGACTTCGACACATTTGATGTGGCCATTACAGATCGCACTTCGGAGTGGAGCCTAGTACGAGCGCGCGGTTGATCTTGATCGTGGCCTTCTGCTGACACAGATACTCCACTACTCTCCACTGACCGGCTCCAGCAGCCAGCACGAAAGGGTTACGGCCATATCGGAGCGTCTTACTGAGCTGCCACGGGCTGATCTCGATCGGGTATTCCATAAGCCACTCGACAGCAGCCAGATCGCCGCACTCGCTTGCCTTCCCTATCGCGTCGTACCAGTGATTCGACGTAAAGACACCGGAGTGGAATTCCGGAAGAGGCGAGTGTAAGAGCGCAATCTGCTGCATTAAATCCAATCGCCCACTGCCAGCCAAGTCTCGTATCGCAGATGTAGCCGAGTCGGCGTCGCAGCGTAGATATCCGCACTCCAACATCCACTCGATCACGTCAACTCGCGGACAATTGGCAGCATAATCCAGAACACATCGACCCGGAGGCAGCAAGAGTTGGACGAGCTCGTCGTCGCCTGCGCCGAGAGCGAGTTGGATCGCTCGGTCGTAGTTAGAGCCAAATTTGTCGTGGGGAATAGTCTCGCAGAGCCATCTCACGACGTGGAAATGCCCATTGGTAACAGCAACCAGCATGACGCCATCTCCCCACAGATCTTCAGTGCCACCTCCATTACGCTCGAACCGACCAGAACATGCACCATCCGAAGCAAAAACCTTTCGTCTTTTCGCGTCGTTGCCCGAACGACGATGCTCCCACAGAAACTTCAGTATGTGGAGATGTCCCTTGCTAGCTGCCGCGCTAGCTACATCATAGGGCGCTTCACAGTCGGGAAAATGTGCAAAAAAACACTTCACGACTGCCAAGTCACCTCGATCCGCAGCAACTTCTAGCCCCTTCGAGAACTGGAAGCGGTAGTAGTGGGGGTCCGACCGCAGGTAATTCGTCAGAGTCCATTGGGGCGTTCTGGTCTCGACTGAGGTGCAGCTTGACGCCCATATCCAGTCTAGCAGCTTGGTGGAGCCAAGCGCGCACGCCTCACTGAGCGACAGGTTCGGCGATGGTCCAAGAAAACTCGAGATAGCCCAAGTGCTGCATTCGACGTCTCGAAACGCTGGGTACGGGCGTAACAGCATTTCGATGCAGACAAGCATACTCCCAACTTTCTGATCGTTCGACGCAGAATCAATTGTGTGGAGAACAAGGGCAATACGATCAATCAATTAAAAAAATGATCTTTTATCCGGAAAAACTGTTTTTTTCATCCAGAATTCACATCATTGCGTTGTAGTATCCTTGCAAGACATGAAGGCGGCCATTTCCAGCGTACTAGTACTGGATTGTTCTGGTCGGGCAGCTCTCCGATTGGTTAGTAGAGCGCCATTGGCAACGTCGAGGTGTCCATTTGCAGAATCGCATTAGCCGTACGTCTGTCCATTAGCCGTGGCTTCATCCAACGGGTATGAACACAGCCACTTGGATCCTCGTAAATGACGGTTTAACGCCGCTAGCCATCTAGCTGATATCGTCTGAATTGCATACAAGGTTGAGTCTCAGCTTGACGCTCTTATAAAAATCCGCGACTCAAACCTGAAGTATGTATACCTCTCCCTTCCAACACGACTTTAGTCGAAACCTTCAAATGGTTCGTGTGAACGAGCAAGCTATAAGCTGGAAATTAATACATGCATTGGAACCCCTTAAAGCAAAAGCAATTAGCAGGTTAGAGAGGAGCTCAGCATCTTAGTCGCAGTTCAAACCTTTTCACGGGCTTCTGTTCGCTATGGCGCTGGGATAGTTTTCGTCGAGCCAACTCCGAATGATTTCGGCCGTTTGCGTTTTTTTGGGAAAAGGGGATCTGAAAAATCGCCCCGAAGTTCTTTAAGGAATTTTGGAGTGAAGATGCTCGGGTACGTGACTTGCAGAAACAGTAACATCTCCAACGCTTTCTCGTCATACCAGACGATAAGCTGCTTATGAGAGGTCACAGCGGAGCGGCTCAGAATGTAACCCAGACTGCACGTCACCGCTCGCAGTACAACGGCACCCTGGCACTTGATCCACTTTATGGGCGCTGGTTCGGACTTCATACTGTCCTACCTCCACCTCAGCATGGCCTCGGCTAACCTGAGCAGCGCGGTGTACGGCACTACCACACCAACATGGACAATCACATGTGCATGGAGACAGTAGGCGACCCGCATTACGCGTCCCACGGAACATGGCTCAGTGGGGATGCGTCTGGCCACCGATGTTGTCGTGCTCTTCTTCATCACGTCCGGCCTTGTGATGAAGGAGGACATTGCCGGTTTCGAGGAAAACATCGCGGCCAAGAACGAGCTTATGTGCTGATTGGCAGTATCCCCATGGGGCCTTCCCATGCGAGAACGCAGCGGATAACTATAGTTTTGCGTAAGAAGTGGATAACAATAGTTTGATTGAGTAGTTTGCGATGTACACGATAGATATGCCCTTCTTAAACTAAGCAAAATATATTTTCTCCGGGTTATTCTCAGGTTAGTGAAAACATGCGCTCATTTTCACAAAGAAATAGTTCCGGGTAAAAGTTCCGGTCAGGGTGAAATAAGGGTATAGTAAAAAAGGTAACCGCTAATAGCGGTTACCTTTTTTACTCAGACACTTCGCAGCCGAAGAAGTGCGCAAACAGCCACTCAATGATCTCCATGTCACCTCGTTCGGTGGCTGCAAGCAGGGATTTGGCGAACTGCCAACGGTAGTACCGCTGGTCGGAGCGCAGATAATTCGTGAGCGCCCATCCTGGTGTCCTCTTTTCGACAGACGTACAGCTAGCGGCCCAAATCCAGTCCAACGTCGCAACGGTCCCAGACCTACAAGCCTCGCTTAGTAACAGGCTTGGTGGTGGGCCAAGAAACGTAGAGATCGTTCTGGTGCTGCGCTCGAGGCTCTCCAGATCGGGACACTGGCGCAACGCGAGATCCACACAAGTTGTCATCACTTGGCTGTTTGGGGTATAAGAGACTAACTACACCATCTCCTGAGGTCAAGTCCACCTCAGTCAATCCGTTTAACGTAGAAAATAGCTGCTGGCGTTTTCAGAGGTCAAGTCCACCTCAGTCAATCAGTTTTCCGTAAAGCAAAAAAAACATATCTGACTTATCTGGAGTGTTCACACATTTTTTACCTAAGGGAAGTTTCACATTTCTTTGCTAGCCTCCGGCTCGTCACTCCATGTCCCGATGTATTGTTGTCCAAGCTCCTTCAGCCTTGCAAGGGCTTTCTTAGCAGTTGGTCTTTGCGTCGGCAGTTCATGCATCAATTCCCGCACGAATGCATCCCTGTCGCCTGAATCTCCCCAAATATCTCCAACGGACTTGAGCAAGCGACCTACAGACCAGATATCCACAGCAGTTGTGTGGGTAGGGTCTGTAAACATTTCCGGAGCGTGAATAGAACGCGACAAGTGTTTTGCACTTTCAGCGTCTTGAGGACTCTCGGCAGCATCCATGAAGTCAATCAGAAACCACGACTCGGAATTGTTGCCACAGATTTTCACCACATTGGACCATCGAATGTCTCGGTGCATCCACGAAATTGAGTGCAGCTTCACCAAAGCTTCCAGAATATCACGGGTGGCGCAAAGTACTTCCGCTAGCGTGGATGGCTTGACGCTGCTTCCTCGAGGACCGAAGACCAGGCTACACGTGCACTTTCGAGACGATCGACGTGCTCCACTGTGGAGCACCGTACTCGGAGTACTTCGTAGACGGTCCCTGCTTGCTGTTTTGCTTGTTCATATTGATGGGCTGGGTAGGTTTTCGTAACATGAGCAGGCTCGAGGAAGATCTCGATACCGCTGGGTCGATACAGGAGTCTGTACTCGTCTCGACCACTCGTTGGGCATGAACTGGCAATACTTGGTAGAAGGCGGCAGATCTGTAGCATTGCCAACAACATCTTCAAGCGAGACATTGGGACCGCAAGGTAGAAGGAAGCCAGACGATGTGTGCGTTTCTCGTTCCTCCGCCGTTGTGTGGCACTGCAATCGTAAAGCCAAGGTCAGCGTTGGAGGCTCAGTTGGTGGAAGACATGGGTGGACACGGGCGAGCGCTGGAAGCTCTACTTGAAGTGCTTCATAATGATCGCGCGCAAGGGGTTGAGGACACATCCAAGATTGTTGATCGACTGTATGCCGCACTGCGCAATCGGTATCCTGCATTGTTCGATTCGCAGTTATTTGACAATCCAGGAGTGTGCCAAGACATTCTTGCCGCCATTTTCTCACGACGCCGCTTCGGTGCTGGTGGGATGGTCGGCCTGCCAAAAGTGTATAAAAATTCCGCATAAGCCGATTTAAGAAAACTTATATTCGTCAGGCGTAGATTTCGCCTCACTGTCAGTAAACCAAGGGTACTAAAGATGTTCAGATGCAGCCCTCCGCAATCTAAAACTCTTTGAAAGTCGACGCGTCTACTTCTAATTCGTGTTTGTATCGAACCTGTTGTATATTCTTTAGTGGTTGGTGCAGTAGTTGGTGAACTGCCTGTGGAGCTACGCATTGGAAGTTAAGCCACAATTGCAGCTTTCGAGATCGGAGGCAGGCAGATGCTGCGGCTGCGAAACAGGCGCAGTGGATGGCGGTTTTGTAGCACAAAATCTAACCTAAGGTCTTCTGCCAGTTTCGTGCCGTCCTTCGAACTTGCGTTTGCTGTGGCATAACTTTTCATTGAATTGTCCATTCTGAACTCTGATTGCACCCGCTAAATCTGCGCGATTGGGCTGAATTTATGTACTTCACGCTGGTCCGTGTAAAATTTGCAGAACTTCTTGTTATTGTTTTGAAAAGCTTGTTGATTTGGAGTGAGCTGCCAGTTTCCTGCCTCTTTTTGATAGCATTTTTGTATGCTATGCAAATCCTAGGAGGCTCATCACCGGAAATTGCATGTGACGCTGGAAAAATCTACCAATAGACTACGAGAGTTTAACAAGGAGAAGATGCTAATTGGCTAAAACAAGTAGGCACGGAACTGGTTGTAGGCACGCAACTGACACTTTACCTTAGGGCAAAATTTGTGTCAAGAAGCACGGTTAGTTGATGATAACTACGGCCATCTACTGCGCCTGCTTCGCAGCCGTAGCATCTGGCCGGTAATGTGCAACTGGAGAAGTACGAAATGATGTCAAATTGAAACGAGCAAATGTCTGCCTACTTTCTTAAAACTTGTGAAGAGCGAAAAAACTTCCGAAGAATTTTTGAGAAGTTTTTGTACCATCGCTAATTGCGGTTTCGATGTCTCCTGAGCGTTACCTGTAACTGGGAATACATTCGTGAGGAATTAAAGTTTGTGAGGCTGGTAAACCAGCAAGAGGGTCTCCCACGATAAACCCCGACTTTCACATATAGCTACCTCTGCACAATTTATATTTAGAGACGAATTTAGAGAAACACTTTATGTCGATTGAATGTCACTTTTGGCAGGCGTCCAGTGCGTGTAAAGTCATCTTAGAGCTTACTCACTGAAGTATACTGGTAAGTTAGAACGACATCTTACAGTCTTGCCTGCATGATAGCCACAGTGAGGTGAGCGGGCCCATTCCAGCTCAACAGAAACTCCTCTTTCATCTCTCGCCATCTTCGTCACAAGCTGCAGCCAGCGCTAAGAAGCACGTTCCCGCCAGGACAAGACGCCCAGGAGGGCGCCAAATTTGTACATGTATTGCCAGTTCTTGCCGTTGCCGGATGAGGGGGCTCTTCTCTCGCCCTGACTATGACACCCAGTTGCCCAATCAGAGGTGTACATACGACCATCACTCCTGTTTTGGCGCGCAAAATCGCCCATCCGCATTCCGCACTCTCCGCCCCAGCCGACGGACCCGCGCAGGCAAGGAGAAGGAAGGCTAGAGCGAAGAGCGAGCGAAGCATGGAGCAGCGGCGGCGCCAGGCGGCCGAGGAGCTGCTCAAGCACAGCCTGTTCGGCTTCCAGGTGCACGACGCGGCGGTGGCCGAGCGCCTGCGCGACCTGCAGGAGCTGCTGCTGGCCACGTGCGGCGAGCGGGACCAGGTGGCGCTGCTGAGCGAGAGCGTGCGCGAGATCGAGGAGCAGCTGCGCAGCCGCAGCGAGCGCTTCCTGCTGGAGCCGCTGCGGCGCTTCGAGCAGGAGATGGAGCTGCTGCTGGACGTGGGCAGCGGCGACGAGGCTCCGGGCCCCGACGAGGACGAGGACCTGCTGGACGACGGCCTGCTCACGGACGACGACCAGATGATGAACGAGGGCCTGCTCTCGCCTGTAGCCATCACGCCGGTCAAGGCGCCTGCTGTTGTTGAGGCTACTAATACCCCGAAGAGCGCTAGTGCTATTACGAAGAAGAGGAAGGAGGAGGAGGAGGACGAGGAGGTGCTCTGTGGCGTGTGCTGCGCGCCCGACTCGCTCGAGAACGACCCGATCGTCATCTGCGAGGTGTGCGGCGTGGCCGTGCACCAGACGTGCTACAGGCTGGCGGCCGTGCCCGACGGCGACTGGTACTGCCACCCGTGCAGACAGTACCTGGACGCGCAGGACATTGAGAAGAACCTGATCCCGACGCACGAGTTGGAGTGCGAGGCATGCTGCTCCAAGGCTGGAGCCATGGCGCCCACGATCGATGGAGGGTGGGTGCATGTAGCCTGCTCCATGTTCTTGCCGGAGCTGTACCTGCAGGACAAGCACGCGTCCAGGTTTCAGGGCCCGCTGGATGATTTACAGGTCGTGTGTGGAGTGGACAAGTTGAAGCAAAGAAGGCGACTGCGATGCTGCTTCTGCAAGAAATCCAAGTGCGTTCTTGTGTTTTTTTGCTTGGAGGTGATGTTTGCGCATGGGATATTAACGGATAGTTGTGGTGATTTACAGTGACAAGGGAGCGTGCGCTCAGTGCGCGGTGGGGAAGTGCGTGGTAGCGTACCATGCACTATGCGCACTACGAAATGGAATCAAGCTTCGGTACATGGAAGATCAGGTATGCACGTCGCTGGTTTTGCGCAAGTTCTGGATATATGTTTTAATGTGTTCTCACGTCTTCATGACAGGGCCAATTTGGCAGCGGGTGCCTTAAACATCAAGCTAAGTTTCTTAATATGGATGGAGAGGAGGAAGTTACGGTCCCTGAAGCTACGAAAACGGCGTCAAAGGTCGACAAATTAAAAGCTAAAAGGACACACAAAAATTCTTGGACTGACGAAGATGAGAGCGAAAGTGACGGTGCCCACGAAGACGACAATGACTTGGACAGCGATAGCGACCATGATGGCAGCCAAGACTCGCTTTCCGATGATGATCGAAATTTGGATGACAAAATCAAACCAACGACTCAACCGAGCCCAACTAAAATGTCACCACCGCGGCTGCTCGGCGGCCCACCGCTGAGGAAAAGTGGGAGCAGGCCGAAGCGAAGTCGTCAAATCAAGCTTTCATTTGCGTCAGCAGAGGACACCCCATCGAAGTCGACACCTGCCAAAGCAGTTCCTATTCCTGCTGCTATAGTTCCATCTAATACCGCCCCTCCTATTCCTGCTCCTGTTCCGGCTGCTCCAGCTCCAGCTCCAAAGCAAGTAGCGCCAGTTATTCAGCGCAAGGATAACGTTTCCACAAGTCGTGTTGTACTCCAGTCCAGTGTTTTCGCACCCGCATTTTATCCTTCGGCGTACCAGCCAAGTGATACGGGTGACCAAGATTTTGAGTACGTGATGATTTTGATTACGAATCGACCTTTTGGCGTTGGAGTTGCATCTCAAAACAAGGGCTCAGGGATTTTTCTCCGCTCCCAGAATACGTCCAACCCTGCGATCTTGGAGGCCATCGACCGTGGCGTAATTCAGAATGGCGATGAAGTTTTTGCTATTAATGACCAAGTGTTGCGAAACGCAGATACCAAGACCTTCCAGGAAATGGTTCCGTCACTCTCGCTACCCGCTCGTTGCTGGTTTCGGACCAAGCGGAGAAGCAAAGTGTTTTCAGCATCCTCGCCTCGCGCTGTTTCAGCTGGCGTGGAGACCGCTGTTCAGTCTATTGCTGTGAAGGTAGCTAGTACACCGCTATCTGGAAAGCAGGCCGTACCGTCAACCCCCAGAGTTTTATCGCCGGATAGTATTCAGCCCGCTGCTCAGTCGAATCAAAGCGCCCGTTCAGGCGATGTCGGAGTTGTGTCTCTTGGTATCGACTGGCCGTGGGTTTTTCTTAGGTCGGATGGAAAGCTGGCAATGAACCTGTTCTGGAAGTCACTCGATTCAGCATTTTTCGTCCGGAAATTCAATAAGCGCACATTCTCGCAGCTTCAGGATAAGGTGGAGGACATGTCTGGTGTACGTTTGAATAGTGCTCATCCTGAGTACGAGCAAGTCCGAAACCTGCTGGTGATGCCGCGACGTGAACGTGTGCCGGCGTACCTGGTTGAATTCCGGAAAACGCGCAAGGAGAAACAAAAATTTCTTTCGTCGGACATTTTAATGGGCGTATCAGGCGAATCAAACCATGCCGAGTCAAAAGTGGATGAACAAACTGCGATAGCGGTGGGCACGACAGTGAATGTTGCGAAGCGCACATGGCCTGGAATGAACAAGCTTGGCGGCGTTGGTCGGATCAGGAAAGTGAACGAGGAGACGCGGCCAGACGGCACAAAACGATTCACCTACAATATCGTTTACGTCGTCGCAGGTGGGTTTGAGAAGAACGTCGAGCGCAAATACATCAGTGTCGTTGACATTGATGCTGAAGATTCCGAAAAGAATGAGAGCGGCAGCTCGACTGCAACAAGCAGAAGGCAGAAGTCGGAGCCAGAGCCGGATTCGAATGATGCAGACAAAGTTGACTCAAGCACACTAAGTGTTCGACTCGCTTTCGCTTTAAATCGAACAGCAGATGAAGAAAGGTTGGCCGCGCTGCCAGACGTTCATGTTGAACACCCACCAAAGAAGCGGCGATTCCAGCTGCAGTTTTCGACATCGAATGCCACCGTTCACTGCGAGAGGATAGATGATGGGAGAAATACTGATTCGCAGGAGATTGGGCAATCCTCTTCCGCAAAGGAGCTTCTTCTGCATCGCCATTTCGACGTCAAGTTACCCGAAGCAGAGGCATTGACGAACGAGTGTTTTTCATCGGAGTTACTTCACATTGAAGACCGTGTATGCGATGAAGTGGATGAAGATGATACGGACAGCGAAGGCGAAGCGGATGAAATCAAGACTGAGCTGGCTACTCTCCAAAATCAGTTCCGTGCTGTGATGGAAGCAAATGAAGCAGCGTTTGCCTCACTTATGAAGAAAGTGGAGGATGAATACGCTTCGAAGGGATACCGCCGTGAGGAACTGCAGCATATTCAATGGCGAAACTATGAGCGCATGTACCAGGAACTCCAGACTGCAAGACGTCAGTTTGATGACAGCGATGACGGTAGTGATTCTGATAACGAGGGCTTGGGGGCTCGGAACAAGGCGGGCAGCGGTGAGGAGGAAGAAAGCGAGCCTGAGGATATTTCCTTTGGAGGGATGTTTGTGAACAAGCTGAAACAAGAGGGCAGCGAAGTGTGCGCATTGTGCGAACTGAGTGGTGGCGATTTTACTGGGACAGATGCGGGCTCTGTGGTGCATCCTCAATGCGCAATGTTCACGCCCGAGACCTTCTTCAAAGATGGCGTTGTGCACGGCATCGACCTGGTGGACCCCGAACGTCGGAGGTTAAAGTGCTCCATTTGCGGGGGCAAGAAAGGACTCAGCAAGATTCAGTGCGCCAACCGGAAGTGTGTGCAGGCGTTCCACGTTGCTTGTGCTTTCGTGAACGGTCTTCTCACGAGGGATCCCTATTACCAGGCCTGGTGTCCTCGCCACCTGAAAACCTCTGGGATGGGACAGTTTGTTGAGCTGCCAGATCACTTAAACAAGCACGCGCAGTTAGGAGCAGCTGACGACAAAGACACGCCCAGTGCAACACCAGCATCCTCCCCAGCTCGCCGCAACAGGAAGAACAGCAAGCAGCGGACAGCCCGGCAGAGGAAAGGTCGCAACCGTCAGGTCTCAACGCCCGCAGAAACTACCACAGCAGCTCGTGCGGAGATATCGTCGTCGAAGACAAATCGAAAGCGCAAGCGGAAGGGTAGCAATGCTAGCGTCCCCGCCAGTGATCCCAGTGCAAAAAATGCGGCTCGAGGAAGCCGAGGCGCCAGCCCCCGCAGCGCTATCGTCATCGAGGACCAGGAGCCTCGCTGTGTGAGGCGTCTTGACATCGACGAGCTTAGTGATGATAGTGATCACGAAGGCAAGGCGGTGGCGGCATGGCAGCAAGGTCGTGATTCACAGCACGTTTTCGCTGAGAACGATGTTGTGGAGGTGCTAGCGCGTGATTGGCGTGGTATGAACAAACCTGGTGGCGTTGCTCGCGTGCGCGCGGTGGAGGTTGTGCCGAACAAGCAAGGCGGGAAAGACGTGCTCTACGACGTGAACTACGTCCTCGGGACGTACAAAGAGAAACGATTGCCTGCCAGATTCGTGCGCAGTCATACAAATTGATATAGAATTAGAGTAATAGAGACGGCTTCGTACTTGCTTTGTCAGCCTCGGATGAACTACTCATCAATCTTCGATGAACTTGCCAGGTATGATTGAAACGTCATTCCGATTTGGCCTGGGCTACACAACGCGTTCCGTGGGTTGTACTGGGGAAACTTTGTGAACAACCAATATGCGCAACGCACATCTCCATTCAAGACGGCGGTCCGCATGGCTTCATACGTGCAACCTTCGCTTTGGTTTTCGTACAGCCACTTCACCACGTTGAGGTGGCCTTCCTTTGCTGCGAGGTCCATTGCATTCCTCCGAGCGATTAGCGTGGAGCCACTGGACCACCTCCAAGTGCCCGTGGCGAGCAGCGTAGTCCATTGCGAGCACGGTGCAGCCTTCAGATCGATTCTCGTGAAGCCATTGTACCACTTCGAGATGGCCATATTGAGCTGCAAGGTCCATGGCGTCCGCCGAGCATGGCGCCGAACAGTTTTCTGTCAACCATTGGACGACAGCGAGATGGTCACGTGCGGCTGCATAGATTACAGCATTGTCCATGCTTCTCCACCACGCGTCCTGGAGTTCAATTATCTGAGCGGAGCTCTTCTCGCGTCTCCAAGCTACGAAAATACTTTAACATTTCCAGACGACCATAGTGTGCAGCATGACTCGTCACAGACTTACCCCGGGACGCGAAAGTTTTCGCAATATGAACTTCACAACGTTCAAATGATCTCCACAGATCGCCTTTTCCATGGCAGCGTCGTAGTTGTACGTGCATGACTACTCGCTGAGATACTGCATCACCTCCACATGGCCTGCTTCGGCTGCAGTAACTAAGAGATCCTTGGATCCCTCGCTTTGCATGACTTCACGACCCATGTCGTGCTCCAAGAGCCACTTGACAACGGCCACTTCGCCACTTTTGCACGATGCTTGTAAGGCTTCATGCCAGATGATGGCTCCGGATACTGAAAAGGGAGAACATTGCTGATCGATTTTCTGGATGGAAACCATTCGCCCATTTCCAGCGAGAGTGCGAATCGCGCGCAAAGAAAAACTGTCATAGCTGCCCCGGTAATTCCCACTCTCCAGCATATCCTCAACTAGCTGTAGCTGCGAATTGTATTCTCGGTAGTCTTGCAGTATTTTGCCCGGTGGAACCAGTGCTTTTGCCAGTTCGATCTCGCCAGCGAGGAGAGCTTCGTTAATGATGATCTCCATGCGATCCGTACACAAGTTTTTGAGTCCCTTTTTCTCATCGACCCACCTGACAATTTCAAAGTGGTGGCTGCTAGTAGCTGCAAGGGTTGCCGTTCGTTAGCCTGACTCGAACCAGAGTCATAGTCGACACTACTTCTACCAGATTCCACCTTTCTCTTCTTTTTGTGCCCATTTTCTCCATCTCTATCGTCGTAATATGCTAGCAAATACACCGCGTGCAGATGCCCGGCTCTTGCTGCTTCCCTTGCCGCAATGGGTATTGCAGTCGGATCGGCTTTACCGTTGGAGAAATGGACCATCAGCCACTTCATAAGGGTCAGATCGCCTCGAACAGCTGCGCATTTCAGTGATTCCGAGAACTGATGGCGGTGGTATCTCCCGTCCGAGCGCAGGTAATTATTCAGAGACCATCCGGGCGATCTATCGGCTTCCGAGGTTGGGCTAACGCTCCATATCCAATCCAAAAGCGTAACCGAGCCGAAAATGCAGGCTTCACAGAGAGAGAGAGAGGCATGGCGGCGGTCCGAGATATCGGGAGATGGCTCCCGTACTGGCTTCGAAGGCGGCTAGCTCAGGATTTCCATGTAGAGAAAACTTCACGCACGAAAGCATTATGTCCTGCCAGTCAAGTTCCAGTCAAGTTGAGGAATGGCCGTACAAGGGGGTCGATGGAAACACGATACAAATGATGTAATGTGCCTCTTTAAAGACTAAAGACTTAAAAGTAAAAAAAACGTGTGACCAGCTTGTTGCAATTAGTTGCATTCATGCAACTTCATGACCCCTGCCCTGCGCAACAACACGTATACTGTAAACCCGGTAAGAATAACTCTTCTTAGCACTTTAAATCGGCACCCATACGAATTCTTGGCTAAACAATATAGTTGAGGAATCCGGCTTGCATCAGCATCGTTCACTCGTGGACTTGATCAATCCAGCCTCTTCAGTCCGAGCATCTAGCCAAGCTTGTACGTTTTTCGGTAACTCCGGGCATATCTTTTGAAAAATCTCAGGAAACTCACTGTGAATAAACATTACCATCTCGAAACAATGTGGAGTGTACGGCGTCACGATCTCGCCTCGCGGTTTGTGGCTTGGAAACTTCGTGTGCAACCAATATGCCCAACGCACGTTTCCATATCTCACGCACCCCACGATCGCTTCAGTCACTTCGGTTTTCGTACAGCCACTTCACCAATTTGAAGTGGCTGTACTTCGCAGCCAAGTCCATTGCCTTGGTGGTGCATCCCTCAGAGCGATTAGCATGGAGCCATTGGACCCCATGTAAGAGGCCGTTTTGTGCAGCGTTGTCCATTGCTTCGGTTGTGCACCCTTCAGATCGATTCTCGTGAAGCCACTGCACCACTCAAAGTTGACCATAGGAAGCTGCTAAGTTCATGGCTTCAGTGGAGCATGGCGCGGAGCAACGTTCTGTCAACCATTGAACGACAGCAAGATGTCCATCGCTGGCAGCGGCTTCCGCAGCCCCATCGAGATCTCTCCACCAAGTATCCTTCACTTCAACTTCATTGGGATCTATGCCAAGCCCGCTTGGCGTCTCCAAGCTATAGAAAAACTTGATCATTTCCAAACGGCCATGATGTGCAGCACGACGGACGACAGGCCACGCCGGGGTTTTGCCAGACAGCAAAAGTTGCCGTAGCAAAAACTTGACAGCCTCCAACTGGTCTTCACGGATCGCACTCTCCAGAGCATTCTCGTAGTAGTAGTTAGTGGCATCTGGCAGCTCGCAAACATACTGCATCACGTTGAGATGGCCCTCTCCAGCGGCTAGATCGAGAAGGTTGCTGGGGTGAATCACGCCAGCCATTTCGTGTTCCAAAAACCATCGCAATACAGGCACGTTTCCACTCTTGCACGCCTCTTGCAAGGCATCCCTCCATAAGAAGTGATCTGAAGATACAGCACCTGGGGTAATGTGTTCGCTAATTTGCTGGATAAGTTCCAAACGCCCAGTCGAAGCAAGCGAAAAAAGCGCGCTAAAAGGGAAATACTTATCCCTGGGATAATCCCCACTCTCTATAAGTGTTTCTATCACTTGAGGACCCGAAAGGTATTCGACATAGTTCACAAGGGAATCGTCCGGTGGGAGCATCTTTTCGGCGAGTTCCAACTCCCCACCCTCAAGAAGCCGCCGAATAACCTTCTCTAACCTCCATGAGTGCCATCGCTTGATAACATTTTGCTCGAATATCCACTTGACAATATGAAGGTGACGTTTCTTAGCAGCTTTCCTCAAGGCATTGAATGCCGTTTCGCCCAAGTCAGCAGCCACGCAGCGTCGGCGCATACCCGTTCCATCGACCCCACAAACCGCGCTACTGTCGATACACTCCGCCTTCCTCTTCTTGCATTCGTGATGTCCTTCAGCGTGTCAGTAAATACTGCACCGCGTGCAGATGACCGTTCCTCGCTGCTTCCATGGCCACCGTCGTATCCGCTGTACAATTGGAGAAATGCCCAAGCAGCCACTCCAGGACAGCCAAATTGCCTAGACCGCCCGCTTCTTTCAATGATTCGTTGAATTGATAGCAGTAGTAGTTCCGATCCGAACGCAGGAAGTTATTCGGCGAACATCGAGACGACCTGGCGGCCTTGGAAGTTGGACTCGATCTCCATATCCAATCCAGTAGCGGAATTTAGCCAAACTTGCAAGCTTCACTAAGAGGGAGCCACGGTGGCGGGCCGAGATATCGGGAGATGGCTCCAGTATCCGCCTCATAGTCCGCCAGCGAAGGGTTAGCATGTAAGGAATGCTTCACACACGGAAGCATTGCTTCTTTATAATCGAGTCGAGAAATGTGAAGGACGGGGTGGGGGGTCAAGGTGATAGATACGACTGGAAAGGTGGAAATCGAAGATTTAAAACAAAGTTTCAAGTAGAAAACGCAAAAAATACTAGAAAATTATTTTAGGAAAAACACGAAGGAGCTTACACATCCCCTGCCTCATCCGACTCCTTCTCGCCTGCTTTCTTCACGCGGGGGATCATGCCCAGTTGCATCTTGTTCATGACGACGACGTAGAAGAAGATATTGACCACCATGATGGCCGCCAGCGTGAAGAACATGTACTCGATGTGCCCATTGTTGAGGTTGGCCGGGATGTACTTACCGAAGAGCAGCACGATGATGGAGAGCAGCGTACTACCCATGGAGTTGACGAAGAACCCAAGGGCAATCGACGTGCTCCTCATGCTCTGCGGCACCTCCGAGTAGTTGATGTCGTACGACGGGATGGCAATCATCACACCAGCCAGCGCGACGAGGAAGTACTGCGGGAGGGCCGTCCACCAGGGAATGTCGTTCATCACCTGACCCCCGTCGTCGTTCAGAATGAACTGAGTCACACCGTCCGAGTCGACATAAGTGAGGGGCGAAGTGCTGCGTCGGATGATCTCGTAGCACCCCGTCCAGACCATGGCGATGACCGCGACGATGTAGCCAGCCAGCACTTTACCGTAGCGACTCGCGGGCTTCCCCGTGTGCTTCTCGTAGAGTGGGTATACTACCTTCTCCATCAAGGGGACGAAGATCAGGACGCCAATGGGGTTGAACATCTGAACGGTAGGGCCTGGAATCTGGCTGGAGAAGGGGTCGCTTCCAAGGCGGGCGTCGGTCTGCTGGACGATCGACTGGTTGTTGCCTCGCTGGTTCTGGCAGACCCACCAGAAGACGTTGAAGGCGTTGAACGGTAGAATGCGGATCACCTGCTTGACGCCGTCCACCAGGTCGGGGTCGAACCGCCCACCCACCGAGTCCTTGGCCGACTCCATGAACTCGGAGCTCTGGCCGAAGTAGACCCAAAGAACTGTCGCGATGACGATCATCACGCCACAGGCGTACGAGATGTTGTGCCCCACCTCGCCGTGGTCCGACAAGATCGAAGCCAGGATGTTGAGCAGGAAGGCCGCGATGTACAGGATCGTGCCGAGCACCACCATCTGCGCGCTGAAGTTCTTCTTGGCGTGGTGGAGCACGATCTTGATCACGAGAGCGACCGACTGCTTGGTAGGGGGCACGTTGACGTACCGCTTGCGCGTGAACCAGAGCAGAGCCACGAAGATGACGAGCATCACGAAGCCCACCAGGTACACGGACACGTAGCCGTAGTCGGCCGGGATGGCGCCGAAGCCGTGGATCGACACGGACGGGAACACTGCGTAGCCGATGAAGGCGCCGATGTTGGCCACCCAGTACTGGATGCTGAAGAAAAGGGCCTTCTCCGAGGGCGGAGCAGTCGGCGAGAACTGGTCACCGCCGTACGAGATCACGAGCGACCGCAGACAGATCTGCGAGACTGCAACGCCCAGGAACAGACCGACGTTGAAGATGGCCTTGCTCACTCCGAGGTGATTGTTGACGATCACCGGGAGGGCGGCGATCACGAGGAAGAGCAGACCGAACGAGTCGAGCGTGGCGGCCGACAGCAGCGTCTTGAACTTACCCAGCCGCTCGTCGGCGATGTACCCGGCGACGATGCACATGAACTGGCTGAAGGAGTCGTACGTGAGCTTCATGGAGGTCGAGCCCTTGTTGGACCAGCCCAGTTTCTGGAAGAAGTTCTTGAGCGACTGGCCGATGGCGAAGCTCGTGACTTCCTCGCACGCCGTGAGGATCAGCAAGAAGATGCACACGTGCTTGAGCACGTTGGCGGCATACCGCACGGGCCGCTCGTCCCAGAGCTTGGTGCTAACGTAGTCCGTGACGGATGGCGTCACTTGCGGCGTGAGTATTGGAGACTGCACCTTGGACATCTTGGGCTGAAGACGGTGAATTCCGGAATGACTTCCGAGGCGCCGAAGTGCGGATTTGCCTCCTTCTTGGAGTCGATATACGCTCGCTAGGACTGCACGATCGGTCAGACCTTGACAGGCTCCAGCTACTGAATTGGAGCCCACCTCACCAAGTTGAAGTGTAACCCACTTCCGTTCAGGTCATTGGTGGACGCCGAGACCGAGATGGCCAATGGCAGCCTTGCACTGCTAAACGACGAATTTAACGCCCGGACGAAGGTACCACGACTTGACAGCTGAGGCCATCGAGATGGACTTTCATGAGACTCCCAGGTGCCTGTCATGAGAGCCCATGGAAACTTTCGTCGTTTGTCATGAAAATCTCCGTATTGGTCATGGATTCATCACAATTTGATGCAGCTCCACCATCGGAACGCAGTTTTCAGTTCGGCCGCCCAAGTGTCCTGTCTACACGGCGCTTTCCGCGTCCATTTTGCTAGCCGAGCGTCGACTGTGCTAGTCGCGCGCAATGCCCTCTAGAACTTCCAGATTGGAAGTCATTCTGGCAGTCACTTTGGTATTGAGCCCTATGTGTGTGCACGGACATGGATCTCCTCCTTTGGCTGATACGTTTGCTCCACTCGGCCGAGGCTTCAAAGCGACGCAACTACCGTCAGAACGAAGGCACACGCTCACCAGGGGTGATCTTCCTATGCGTGTGCGCTGATGTGTGCGTCTGTGAGCCGCAGTGCATACATGTACACGTGCAATGATGTCTTCCCGCTCGAGATCGTCCATGTTGAAGTGGAAACATACGTGATCGTGTCCTCCGACCATGATTCGCCACGAGCTCCAGCACGATCTGCCCAATCACCAAGCAGCCGTTAAACAGCGGAGACCACCGGCATAATGGACCACTTGGTGCACCCCCACGGTCTCCGCTGCACATTGGCCTGAGCCTCATCAAATCGCGGGCCCTGCAAGCGTTCCTGTCATGGCGACGCACTCAGGACCCATCCACCCTGTTGATGTGACTTTGCCACTGATCCGAGATCCGAGCTAACAGATACCCCACGTGAGTGTGTGAAGTGATTCCGACGGCCAACGCGTCTGACCTGGCCGCCGCAAAATAATGCAACCACGACTCTACAGTAGAGGGCGGAGTCTACACTACACACACACCCGTCTCCGGCCGACGTACTTGGAGAGAGCTCCCTCACTCACAGTCACTTTGCAATTCGCACCATGGCCCCGCAACACCAGAACGAACCGACCAAGACGGTGCCCGTCCAGGCCTCGACCAAGCCCGTCGCTATCAAGAACGCCTTGAACCAGGAGGTGGAGCACTTCAAGTTCGAGCACCCGGAGCTGCTGAGCGTGTACCCGGCCACCAAGTTCGACCCGATCCCCGAACTGCCGTACGAGGACTGCGGGCTGAAGGCCGACCCGACGTTCAAGAACCTGCTCAAGGACGCGACCGTGACCCACTTGGCGCCCAAGATCGGCACCGAGTTGTCGGGCATCCAGCTGCATGAACTCACGAACGCGCAGCGCGACGAGCTGGCGCTGCTCATCGCCCACCGCGGCGTTGTGTTCTTCCGGGACCAGGAGATCACCATGGAGCAGCAGCTGGAGCTCGGACGCTACTACGGCCCGCTGCACGTGCACCAGAACTTGGGCCACCCGGAGGGCCACCACGAGGTCGTGGTCGTCGAAAACTCGGTCGAGACGAGCGACGCGTTCCTCAAGCGCCAGATCTACGACCCGTTCAACGCCTGGCACAGCGACGTGTCCAACGAGCGCCAGCCACCGTCCTACACGAGCTTCAAGGTGCTGACGAACCCGCCGGTGGGCGGCGACACGCTCTGGGCGTCCGGCTACGAAGCGTACGACCGGCTCACTCCGCCAATGAAGGAGTTCATCTCGGGGCTCACGGCCATTCACACGGGCATCGTAAGAGGAATCGCTATGGGATTGGGGGTGCACTTGGAAGAGATCTCTGAGTGGTTTTGTTTTGCTTCGTGTCCATTGCCAGCCTCAAGCTACTGCTGCGGCCGCTAAAGGTCAGAACATCCGCCGTCCACCGGTCGAGTTTGAACACCCGGTTGTCCGTACGCACCCGGTGACCGGCCGCCGCTCGTTGTACGTGAACCCGGCGTTCACCAAGCGCATCGTGCAGTTGTCTGCTGCTGAGTCTGGTACGTACAATATAGTATCTTTGGAGTGGTATGCAGATGAGAGACGAACCCAGAAGCTTCTTTCTAACTGTTCATTGACTTGCATTAGACGCGGTGCTGCGACTTCTGTACCAGCACGTGACCGAGGGCCACGAGTTCCAAGTGCGCTTCCGCTGGACGAAGAACGCCGTGGCGATTTGGGACAACCGCTCCACGTTCCACTACGCGACGTTCGACTATCTGCCCGGCAACCGCCACGCTGTGCGCGTGACGCCGCATGGCGAAGTGCCGTACTTCGACCCTGAAGCTGTCCCCAAGTAAATGTCGGTCGTGTTTGGAGCTCCTGTTTGATGTGATAAAACAACGTTTACTATGACCGTCCCTAAAAACTTTTTTTTGGTTTTACATTATTCACGACATCGCAACGAAAGTTCCCTATCGAAACCTTTCTGTCGTCGATTCTCTAACCATCATCCCGTTGGGCATGGAAGTCGTTCTCGTATTTTCCAGCAAGGAGATAAAGAAGAACTGCCAAGCCGATGCTCACTGCTGTTGAACTAGTGCTGCGGCAGCACCCAAGTTTTCGCTCGCAAACTTCCGTGGGCAGCAAGGTTTCCACTTTTGTCGGCCCGTCACCAACGCTATCGCTGCACCAAGCATGCGCCATGGGTTCTCTCAAGCTGCTCGATCTACTGTGGGAAGCCAGCTGCACCTCGATGGACACGAGGTCCGTAGGGTGGTCTCTCAGTAACTTTCTGCGCTCTGAGCCCCACTATTACCACTGGGAGTTCATTGTGTCTTTGCTGGTAGCTGCTAATCGTGGTAACTTGGAGGTGGTGCAGTGGCTGTTTGACCATTTCTCGGGGTGCGAGGCGCCCGCTGACGCGTTTGAAGAAGCGGCGGTGAATGACCATCTGCCTGTCGTCAAGTTCTTGCTGGCCAATAGCGACAACTGCCGAGACGAGTTAAATAACAGCGCTAAGAAGAGGAAAATTGTTACTGGTGGTGATGACAAGGCAATATTGCAAAGCGTTCCAGTACAAGGCAAAGATGGCAGGAATGTAGTCCATTGGAGCGACTATGTCGTGACGGAAGCCGCCACCAAGGGGCATTTGGAGCTTGTGCGTTGGCTGTACGATAACGTTGCGCACAAGATCAGCCAGGACTGTACTGACCGAGTAATCGAGCAAGCGCTGCGCTTTGGGAGTATTGAGCTGGCTGAGGAGATGACGCCCCCCGGCCAGAACATTCTCGAGTATGCGACTGAGCATGCCGCTCCACAAGTGGTCGAGATGATGCTGGACGGAGGATTCTTGGAGACGAACGGGAGATTAGCTGCCGAGACAACGTCACGGATAGCTGACAAGGGCCATTTTGCTTTACTGGAGCGTCTGCTCACTCTTTGCTCTTCTCCCACGGAGTACATGGACAGGTGGTGCTTCGCATTTGGGAATGCGCTGAGTAAAGCTTGCGAGCTTGGCGAGCTTCCCGCAGCATCCGCTGGGGCGTCGAGTGAGTAACCAAGACGTATAAACTGAGAATCTCCTTGCTGTCGCTGCCGGCGCTGGACAGATGGATGTGGTGCAGTACCTCGACGCGGAAGGCTTCTGCGATGACAGGGGAGAGGCGCTGTTGAGAGCAGTAGGAGAAGGTCACCTGGACCTGGTGAAGTGGTTGCTCAAGAACGTCCCATATCCTTTAGAAGTTGAGGACAATTATCTGATGGACGAAGCTGCAGAGAATGGACATGTGGACATGTTGCAGTTCCTCCAAACCTTGTCTCCGTCAGAAGTGCACGAGGTGAATCGGCCGAGATCGGACGAGTCTGAGGTGGGTGCGTGGTGGACTCAGATTCGTCACGCGATGGATCTGTGTAACGGAGTACAACTCCGTTGATGACACCTAGAAGGATTACTCTGTGTTTACTTTAGTTCAGGTTAAGATGACGCTAGGTTTACTCTTAGAATGACTGGCTGCAAAAGAGTAGCAACAAAGAAGGAAAACCCGAACTAAGCCAAGCTAAATACACTTTTCATTTCGCTTTCAAGACTACGACGTTACAATCTGGCTGCGAAGGGAGGCCATTTGCCAGTTCTCGAATGGCTGAGTGCGAACCGCTCGGAAACTTGCACGACGAAGGCAATGGATGAAGCAGGGAGATCTGGACATCTAGAAGTTATCAAATGGCTCCATATGAATCGATCGGAGGGATGCACGACGGCAGCAATGAATAGCGCAGCAGCTAGAGGGGACCTGGAGATAGTGCAATGGCTCCACGGTAATCGACACGAAGGATGCACTACAGGTGCATTGGAGTGGGCGGCCTACCACGGCGAGTTTAAAGTCGTGAAGTGGCTACACGAAAATCGATCTCAAGGTTGCACGACGAAGGCGATTGGAAACGCTTTGTTGATGGGGCACTTGGGCATTGCCGCTTTCCTGACGCAGCGGTACCCTGGGCGCACTCCCAATATCGACCTGGTGTGGCAAATGAATCACTTTGACATTGTACTCTGTGTGCAGAAGTACTATGGCTACGGTATCGACGCGCTTACCATCTCCCAGCAGGCTCAAATGGCGGAGTCCTTTCCACCGCAGAAGAAGCACGTTCGGGAGTGGTTGGTGGAGACACACGGATTGTGATTGCTTGGGCCGGGAGCTGTAGCTTCGAAGTCCACCGAGGGTTTCATTCTCCCGTCCGGAAGCAGTTGGGTCGCTATTATAATAAAGCCTTCAAACCTTCAAATTAAGGTCCAAAACGTTTTACAAAGTTTTGGATCTTCTTGTATTTCAATTATAAACTATTAAGGGATGTAGTCCATAAAATAAACCCATTATTTTTTTCTGGAGCTCACAAGACACCCGAGCGTATCCTTCGTCCTACGGCAGCAGCCCTGCGCCGACGCTCTGGAGCACCTCGGCCCGTACCTGTCAAGCTTCCTGGGACCCCCCTCGCCACCTCTCGCTGCATCAGGCATGCACCTTCGGCTCCACGAAGCTGCTGGACTGGGTCTGGGACAGCAGCTGCACCTCCACTGCTACCCGCAGTCCGTCCTGGTCTCTCTACAATTACCTGCGCTCGGACCCCGACTATTACCGCTGGGAGTTCGCCATGGCCACGGAAGTGGCTGCAAAGCGAGGAGATGTAGCCATTCTGGAGTGGCTGCTGACCCATTTTCAAGACTGCGAAATACCCATCGAGACCGTGGAGCAAGCTGCCAGCAAGGGAAATGTAGCCATTTTGCAACTTTTGCTCAAGTACGACACCAGCAGCCAAGGGATTCAAGAACCAAACGTGAAATAGAAAAAGTGGCTGCAGAACGTGGTCAAGCAGACGTCCCCAAAAGTGGCGGTGGCCATATTGTCCGCTGGAAGGATCGGCGTAACTTCTATCGATCGTCTATTATGGCACAAGCTGTCCGGAAAGGACATCAGGATGTTGCTCGCTGGTTGCACGCCAATGTGCCCGGGCAAAACGACGAAGATTCCGCAGGAGACGCAGTCAGAGCAGCGATACGGACCGGCGACATGGAGCTCGCCAAGTTCTTTCTGTCTAGAGACCGCACTCTGCTGGACTTCGTCGGACAGTGTGAGCAGTCGGTCGAGGCGATCGAAATAATGCTGGATGCTGGCCTTTTCGAGCTACCCAAGTATATGGACACTTCCGCGTTGCCATTGGTAGCGCGAGTCGGCCGCTTGGATCTGCTGGAGCGACTTTCACACAACTACAACTTGCACGTCACAGATTGGTAGAGGTCGTGGAGGAAAGCCTTGCTTGCTGCTTGTCGCCATGGGCACTGCGCTATCGTGCGGTGGATGATTGAGCATCCTATGTGGCGTGGAGTTCGCAAGATGTTGGTGAGACAGGGGAATCTTTCCGACCTGTTATGGTGTGCGGCGGACTACGGGAGCATCGAAGTGATGCAATGTCTGCAAGATTTGAGAGCTGTCGATTGCTACGGGAATGCCCTGGTTGAGGCGGTGGCGAAGCATGACACGAACTGCATCAATTGGTTGCTGGAAAACTTCCCACAATCCGAGCGCGTGCCAGACTACGCCGTGCTAGATGAAGCCGCGAGGCGCGGAAACCTGAAGTTGTTGCAATACTTTGAAAGCGTTGGCTCTGTACCTGGGTTTGTATCAAAGCCAGCAAAATCTAGACGAGGTGCTACGGCACGGACATCATCCGGCACGTTGATGCACGTAGCTCGAAGTGGCACCTACAGATACGTTGAGGACGCTAGGGCCCCACACCGTCCGTCCTGGAATTCGATGGATACCTACGGATACGTTGAGAACGACAGGCTCGCGCACCGATCGTCCTGGGCTTCGACGGACGCCATGGATGATGCAGCAGCGAGCGGACACCTTCGAGTCGTGCAATGGCTGCACGAAAACAGAAGCGAAGGATGTACGACAGAGGCAATGGATTGCGCTGCTGCGATTGGCCCTCTCGAGGTGGTGAAGTGGCTTCACTCCAATCGAAGCGAAGGATTCACGACAAAGGCAATGGATGGATCAGCATCTCACGGTCACTTGGAAGTTGTGCAATGGCTCCATACGAACACAAGTACCTGCTGCACGACAGCAGCGATGGACGGAGCAGCCAAGCATGGCAGCTTGAAGACGCTGAAATGGCTTTATTCCAACAGAAGCGAGGGGTGCACCGTAAAGGCGATTGAGAATGTCATCAATCGCACTCACCTTGGGGCTGCCATTTGGCTGGCTGCGACGTATCCCAACTTTGCTCCAGTGAAGTTCACTTGTGGGGAGTAATTATTATCTGTTGCTAATTTACTGGCTCATCTGTTGCGGGCAAATCAGCGGAAAATCTGTTGCCCGAGTCGGTTTATCTGTTGCGTGGTGTAGGGGACGAAAGCAACAGGTTTTCAGTACCGAAATCCTGCAACAGATTACATGTCGAGTTGACTCAGTATATCTGTTGCCTAGGTGATTACTTGTTGTGCTCATGCATCGAGTAAGAGCACCCCTGCTATTGCTCCGAAGGCGGTCGATGCTTGATAGGATTCTCTTAAAGGGCTCGCATGAATTTCGCGAAGGCTATGTGAAAGTAGGATGGCCATAGCAGTAGATGGATCACTTGAAGGTCATCACACTGTCCTCCAGCTCCAAAAGATGCTACGCTGCACATTTTCCGCATCTGGCGTCGGCTCCTGTACAGTTCCGCATCACCTCAACGTCTTCAGGCATCGGATCTATTGCGCCTTGCTCTACATGGGTGCAGGCAACCCCTCTTCGGGCGCGGACTTGTGAACTAGGGCAAGTTTGGATTGCGCTGGACCTTGATTAAGATAGTTGGGCCACGTTCACCTGTACACTTGCTTACCTGTGCATATGACTAAGAAAAATAATAGTTGCGTGGTCTCCAATAGCTCTTCTTCGCTTGTTGTTATGTAGCCGCCAAGGCATTTGCCGCCCCTGTGCGAGCTTGTACACGTCGCGAATACATAGTACTGAAGGACTCACTGTCTAGTGCCCACGCTCTTCCCACGAGGGGGTAGCTTTGCACTCTACTACCTCAGGAAGCACCCCGGGGGGAACCCAGTCAGCTGTTGTCGGCGTGGCCGACGGATGCTCGTGTTAATGCATTGTTCCGTTAATGTCACTCTCAGTGGCCACGTGACGTGGCCACTGAGAGTGACCCACGTGCACTACATCGTACTACCCAGCGGACGTGAGTCGACACCTCCGTCCGATGACTTCTCGCATACTTAAGTACGCGCGCGATCGGGGCTACCACGGACACAAAGGCTCTCATTACTACAATTGGGGCTATGGCTATGACAAATTCGACCCTCAGGGCTACCGCTCTTACGGCCAAGGCCGTTGTTCCTGTGATGATGGCTATGGGGGTCGTTATGACCGCTCTGATCGTAATGACTCACACAATGACTAGGAGGACGACGTGACGCTCACCGCAGTGATCCTTCACCTCGTGGATCGACCCGTAAGCGCGTGGTCTGCTGGTAAATCCTTGGAAACACTGAAGAAGCTGTAACTCATCCCTGACACCAATTAGTCCAGTAGCACCTCGTGCGCTTTATTAGAATAGGTCACACACTCTTCGCGATAGGCGTGGACGTCAAGAGCGCACCCATGGCGACGTTGACTTGCCATACCTGTGCTGCTGATGTCGTAGCACGCCTGCGTCAGAAGTCACAGGCCTCGTTGGCCTCTAAGGGGAACGGCAAGTTATCATCTACATGCAGCAATAACTCAAGCTGCTTGAAAAGTTAAGGAATGACTAGCGCAGAATAAATCCGTATCAGACCGCTGAGCTCGCCATAGTCCCCGAAACGGAATACCACAAGTTCATGCACCACCTTCCCGAGCAATAGCGGGGGTGCTCTTACTCGATGCATGGGCACACCTAGGCAACAGATATACCGAGTCAACTCGACGTGTAATCTGTTGCAGGATTTCGGTACTGAAAACCTGTTTTCGTCCCCTACACCACGCAACAGATAAACCGACTCGGGCAACAGATTTTCCGCTGATTTGCCCGCAACAGATGAACCAGTAAATTAGCAACAGATAAAAATATTCTCCCTTCACTTGTTTCTCGGACGAGAACATGTTCGATTTGATACTGTTCGTGCACGCGCACTACCCTGAGCTGATACGCACTCAAGAGTTCCAGCGCCGCAGATACACCTACAAAACAATGGATGCATTCAACATCAACTGGCTGGAGAAACATTATCCGTCGCATGACAGCATGATCGACTCCGACTGGCGCTAATAGTGAAAAAAAACTTGATTGGTATTTCTCGCAAGAGTCCTTCGTATATTAGCACTTTTTTCGAGTATCCCCGTCACCAGTGATTTTTTCTAGCATACAAGCCTGTCGATACATTTAGGCGCGCGAACTTACCGACCACTTCGGTGCTAAGTCTTCAGATGCCGCGCATGTATGCGAAGATTTTGTTCGTTTGCCTTGGCTATTGTCCCAAGAGTGGACAAGCGGATTGAGAAGTGTTTGCCCACTGGTGAGAACAATGACAAGGTTTGCTGACCGAGAGCTATCAGTTTGGACAAGCCACAGTGATCGAATCAAAGTTAATTCTGGGTGGCAAATTCACATCTTCCCAGTAACAGTTAAATCGCCATCACATTGAAATGATTTCAAGTCCTCGAGCAACGAAGAATGCAAACTGTGGACATGATGCAATTCCTTCAGACTTTACCACCTCAAAATGCACGAGGCGAGTAGGTCCAGACTGGGCAAGTATGTGTGGCGGACACTAACTCGTCACGCGATGGGGGCTCTGAAGGGCGTGCAGTGACTCCACGCTATGTAATACTTAAGTAATCGACAGTACAAGCGCGATGCATTGGGCAGCGGCCATTTTCGCGTCGTGAAGTGGCAACATGAAAATCGATCCGAGGGTCGCACCGACGAGGCAATTGAGGACATATTCGGGACCTTCAGAGCGCTGCTTATCCTGACGGAGCGATACCCGGACTACACGTAACTCCTCGCATTGACTGCACGGAGATTTTCCATTCGTCGCTCTTGTCATTCTACCACCCATCCAACTACCTTAGCTGGGTAGCGCGGGTTACTACTATATACTGTTATGTAGTTGATCTTCAAGTTCATTTTTGCTTTGCTTGTCAATCAACCATGTTGAAGCCGGTCAGACGGGACGTGCACGTGTGAACGCGTCTCATTGGCTTATAGTCCGACTTTTACCACCAATGAGAGTGCGGATGCGTTCTGGTGGTACGATGCCTGTTCTATGCACGAACAGGTCTCGACAGTGCATAGCACCAGTGACGTTGCAATCGCCGCTAGAACGAACGTGTCCTGGAGGAGACCAATGAAAGGCGCCATGAGCACCAATGTCATCCCCAGTGCCAGCAACCCTACATGGCACACGCACATCCTCGACATAGGCCCAACATGAATCTTCAAGCGATGCATCGCGCGCGTACCGGATGGGTGTGCGTGTTGGGCAATGGGCGCTGAGTGTGGAATTCATCCGAGTCCTCCTCCATCTCTTCCCTCACTTTCCATTTCACCCTCGACGTGACAAGCCATGGCTCCCCAGCAGCAAGACACCCAGACGGCGGCGGTGGCCCCGACCCGGGCCCTCACTGCGCCCACTCCCGCGACGAAATTGTCGCCTCCCACCGCTTCGTCAAAGCCCGTCAAGAACGCACTGAACCAGGAGGTGGAGCACGCCCAGTTCGAGCACCCGGAGCTCAAGTCCGTGTACCCCACGACCACGTACGACCCGATCCCCGTGCTGCCGTACCAAGACCGCGCGCTCAAGGCCGACCCGACGTTCAAGAACCTGCTCGAGCACGCGACCGTGACGCACCTGGCGCCCAAGATCGGCACGGAGCTGTCGGGCATCCAGCTGCACGAGCTGACGGACGCGCAGCGCGACGAGCTGGCGCTGCTGGTGGCGGAGCGGGGCGTCGTGTTCTTCCGCGACCAGGAGATCGACATCGACCAGCAGCTCGAGCTCGGACGCTACTACGGCCCGCTGCACGTGCACCAGAACCATGGCCACCCGGACGGGTACCCGGAGGTGCTAGTCGTGGAGAACTCGGTTGAGGACAGCGAGCGGATCCTCAGGCGGCAGGAGTTCGACCCGGACAACGTGTGGCACAGCGACGTGTCGAACGAGCGCCAGCCGCCGTCCTACACGAGCTTCAAGGTGTTGACGAACCCGCCTGTGGGGGGCGACACGCTCTGGGCGTCCGGCTACGAGGCGTACGACCGCCTCACACCGCTGTTCAAGAGCTTCCTCGAAGGGCTCACGGCCATTCACAGCAGCAAGGTGGGCTTACTTGTTCCGGTATACGGGTCGTTTGTTGCTGCTGTACTGACGATGCAAATGTGTTTATTTGTTGATGCTTGCAGAGCCAAGCGGAGCGAGCAGACCGTCGAGGCCACACTATTCGTCGGCCGCCGGTCGAGTTCGAGCACCCGGTGGTGCGCACCCACCCGGTCACCGGCCGCAAGTCTCTCTACGTGAACCCGGCCTTCACGACGCGCATCCCGCAGCTCTCGTCCCGCGAATCAGGTACGCATGAGAGTGTAAACTTGGTTATGCAGTGCATTAGCTAGAAGTGAAAGCTAATTGTGGCTATTGCGCACAGCCGCGGTGCTGAAGCTGCTGTACAAGCACATTACGGAGGGCCACGAGTTCCAGGTCCGCTTCCGCTGGACGAAGAACGCGGTGGCCATCTGGGACAACCGCTCGACGGCCCACTACGCGACGTTCGACTACCTGCCGGGTAACAGACACGCGGTTCGAGTGACCACGCAGGGTGAGATCCCTTACTTCGACGGAGAAGTGAAGAAGCCGTGAAACGGTGTAGTACTGGGTGGGCGTCGAGGCAGATGAAGAAATTGTATGTGTACTATAGTTACAAAGCAGCTTTCAGAATATAGCTCGCTCATATTTTTTGGAAAGGAAAACTGCCTTGTTTGCTCCTCAGGCGAGTGTAGTCGATAATGATGTGGTCTTTTTTTCAGTATTGTGAGCTCTTTCTGAAGTCTATCGAAACTGTAAATCTTGCAGCCAAACACGCGGACGGGTTGCTTTAGTTTACTATGGTCATGCCATTGAGCCCACAAGGGGGGATGGACAGTGAGTATTTCAACAAATGTTGTGGGGTTTGAAGTAGACTGACTGAAGTAAGCTTTACTTAGATTTTGGTATCAAAGCATATTGGAACCGGATCCCGTACGCCGCTTCTGTACTGCTGCAATGTCTTCATATTTGGATCTTGCCGCCCCCCCCTGAGGTTTAGAATGTTATCCACGGCTGCTTTTGGAGGATCCACTTGTCGAAGAGCGCAGTTTCCAACTCCGTAGCAATTTTCTTGGTACAATCGTCGTTCTAACGGAAAAGCTACCGTCATCCCTCGTACTAGACGCCTAGGCGTTATAAGAAAATAGAACGCCTAGTGGGCGTTCTATTTGAATAAAAGACCTATTATATTCAAGTGAAACTACGAAACTCTGAAGGATGCAAAAGGTAGGCGTTGTATTCAAATAAATCTAAAATCCCTGAACGTTGGTAGTGGCCTCTAACACGCCCAGCTGCTCAACACATTTCCGAACTATCGACGGCGAGGGTATCTTGTGTTTTTGTGGCAAGGGCGGTAAACCCAAAGCCGTCGATACCCTTCTTGTACTCTCCAGCAACACTGCGCTTGAATTCGATACTGTAGTTATTACGCTTTTTCTTGGCTGACATTCTTGGCGTGGGCTTTTGTGTCGCGGGTGGGCGATTGTATAATGATACGACAAAACATATAACGAGCTCGACTTCCGCTCGAATAGCTGGCGGTCGGCACAGAGGTCCAAATGGCAGCAGAATTGTTGGCAACTATTTACGTTAATAAGAGTTCATTCGTCATATGCCATTTACAACATGTGTTACGCTTGGGTAGGCGTTCTATTTTTCTATAGCTTCAATTCGAGGGTGCGATCAGATTTGGGACTGTTGACCAACCTCGAATACAGCGCCTAGGCGTCTAGTACGAGGGAAGACGGTAGTCGCTCATGTTCAGATCAACGTCTCTATTAAGCGTATTCTGCGATTCGACACTAAAGTTGCCGATAACGAGGAAGAACGCACGACGTGGTGCATTAAACTTTCTGAGGGCGAAGAACGACGATTGTACCAAGAAAATTGCTACGGAGTTGGAAACTGCGCTCTTCGACAAGTGGATCCTCCAAAAGCAGCCGTGGATAACATTCTAAACCTCAGGGGGGGGCGGCAAGATCCAAATATGAAGACATTGCAGCAGTACAGAAGCGGCGTACGGGATCCGGTTCCAATATGCTTTGATACCAAAATCTAAGTAAAGCTTACTTCAGTCAGTCTACTTCAAACCCCACAACATTTGTTGAAATACTCACTGTCCATCCCCCCTTGTGGGCTCAATGGCATGACCATAGTAAACTAAAGCAACCCGTCCGCGTGTTTGGCTGCAAGATTTACAGTTTCGATAGACTTCAGAAAGAGCTCACAATACTGAAAAAAAGACCACATCATTATCGACTACACTCGCCTGAGGAGCAAACAAGGCAGTTTTCCTTTCCAAAAAATATGAGCGAGCTATATTCTGAAAGCTGCTTTGTAACTATAGTACACATACAATTTCTTCATCTGCCTCGACGCCCACCCAGTACTACACCGTTTCACGGCTTCTTCACTTCTCCGTCGAAGTAAGGGATCTCACCCTGCGTGGTCACTCGAACCGCGTGTCTGTTACCCGGCAGGTAGTCGAACGTCGCGTAGTGGGCCGTCGAGCGGTTGTCCCAGATGGCCACCGCGTTCTTCGTCCAGCGGAAGCGGACCTGGAACTCGTGGCCCTCCGTAATGTGCTTGTACAGCAGCTTCAGCACCGCGGCTGTGCGCAATAGCCACAATTAGCTTTCACTTCTAGCTAATGCACTGCATAACCAAGTTTACACTCTCATGCGTACCTGATTCGCGGGACGAGAGCTGCGGGATGCGCGTCGTGAAGGCCGGGTTCACGTAGAGAGACTTGCGGCCGGTGACCGGGTGGGTGCGCACCACCGGGTGCTCGAACTCGACCGGCGGCCGACGAATAGTGTGGCCTCGACGGTCTGCTCGCTCCGCTTGGCTCTGCAAGCATCAACAAATAAACACATTTGCATCGTCAGTACAGCAGCAACAAACGACCCGTATACCGGAACAAGTAAGCCCACCTTGCTGCTGTGAATGGCCGTGAGCCCTTCGAGGAAGCTCTTGAACAGCGGTGTGAGGCGGTCGTACGCCTCGTAGCCGGACGCCCAGAGCGTGTCGCCCCCCACAGGCGGGTTCGTCAACACCTTGAAGCTCGTGTAGGACGGCGGCTGGCGCTCGTTCGACACGTCGCTGTGCCACACGTTGTCCGGGTCGAACTCCTGCCGCCTGAGGATCCGCTCGCTGTCCTCAACCGAGTTCTCCACGACTAGCACCTCCGGGTACCCGTCCGGGTGGCCATGGTTCTGGTGCACGTGCAGCGGGCCGTAGTAGCGTCCGAGCTCGAGCTGCTGGTCGATGTCGATCTCCTGGTCGCGGAAGAACACGACGCCCCGCTCCGCCACCAGCAGCGCCAGCTCGTCGCGCTGCGCGTCCGTCAGCTCGTGCAGCTGGATGCCCGACAGCTCCGTGCCGATCTTGGGCGCCAGGTGCGTCACGGTCGCGTGCTCGAGCAGGTTCTTGAACGTCGGGTCGGCCTTGAGCGCGCGGTCTTGGTACGGCAGCACGGGGATCGGGTCGTACGTGGTCGTGGGGTACACGGACTTGAGCTCCGGGTGCTCGAACTGGGCGTGCTCCACCTCCTGGTTCAGTGCGTTCTTGACGGGCTTTGACGAAGCGGTGGGAGGCGACAATTTCGTCGCGGGAGTGGGCGCAGTGAGGGCCCGGGTCGGGGCCACCGCCGCCGTCTGGGTGTCTTGCTGCTGGGGAGCCATGGCTTGTCACGTCGAGGGTGAAATGGAAAGTGAGGGAAGAGATGGAGGAGGACTCGGATGAATTCCACACTCAGCGCCCATTGCCCAACACGCACACCCATCCGGTACGCGCGCGATGCATCGCTTGAAGATTCATGTTGGGCCTATGTCGAGGATGTGCGTGTGCCATGTAGGGTTGCTGGCACTGGGGATGACATTGGTGCTCATGGCGCCTTTCATTGGTCTCCTCCAGGACACGTTCGTTCTAGCGGCGATTGCAACGTCACTGGTGCTATGCACTGTCGAGACCTGTTCGTGCATAGAACAGGCATCGTACCACCAGAACGCATCCGCACTCTCATTGGTGGTAAAAGTCGGACTATAAGCCAATGAGACGCGTTCACACGTGCACGTCCCGTCTGACCGGCTTCAACATGGTTGATTGACAAGCAAAAGCAAAAGAAGTGCAGAGCTCAACTAGTTTCATGGGGTAAGCCACCTACAGTAGCTGGGACGGTTAGAACGAAGAGCGGCCAGCGGAAGATCCCCATGCAGTCATACAATTTCAGCATGGCCATAGCCCTCATACGCCTCCATCAGCCACTCTAGAACGTGCTCGTCCTGCAGTGCAAAGGACTCGACCGCAGCAGCTTGCAGCTCGATCTCCGTCGGGCTGATCGCATCGGGATAGAATTCATCAATGAAGAGTAGAACTTCGAACTGGCTCATTTGCCACGGCAGCACAATGCGGGGAGTTAGTATCGCTGCGTCAGGAAAGCGGCGATGTTCAAGCGCCCCATCCCGAGTGTGTCCTCAATCACGGTGCAACGGTCGGATCGATTTTCATGTAGCCACTTCACGACGCGAAAACGACCGTTGAAGGCCGCCCAATGCATCGCGCCTGTAGTGCATCCCTCTAGCGTGGAGCCACCGCACGATCTTCAGATCCCCTCTAGCTGCTGCTTTGTCCATTGCTGCCCTCCGATCGATTCGTGGAGCCACTTGACCACTTCTAAATTTCCAGACCTCGCTGCTTCGTCCATTGCTTTCGTCGTGCAAGTTTCCGAGCGATTCGCTTCCAGCCACGGGAGAACTGGCAAATGACCTCCCTTGGCAGCCAGATCCATCGCGTGACGAGTCTAAGTCCACCACGCACCCACCTTAGATGTCCTTGGTTTCAGCCGACTGGCCTTGTGCACTTGTGGCGGGGACAACGTCTGGAAGAACTGCAACATGTCCACATGACCATTCTCTGCTGCTTTGTCCATGACGGAATCGCCCTCGACTCCTCCAGGATAAGGGACGTGCTTGAGCAGCCACTTCACCAGGATCAAGTGACCTGCCTCCACAGCGCTCAACAGGGCCTCGCCCTTTTCGTCGCTGAAACCTTCCGTGACGAGGAACTGCACCACCTCAATCTGTCCAGCGCCAGCAGCTACACTGAGGAGGCTCTCGTATCCACCAGTGTTGCTCGCTTCACGCCCCACCGGATGCTGCAGTAGCAGCTGCAGGCCTGACAGCTCGCAAGCTTCACTCAGCGCACTCCCAAATGCGAATCTCCATGTCTCCTTGTGCTCGATGGGGGCAGACGGGCAAAGAGCGATTAAGCGCTCGAGCAAGACAAGATCGCCTCTTTCAGCTAACGCTGCCATCGTCCGGGCCGCTAATTCCTCGTTCTACTCCAAGAATCCTCCGTCCAGCATCATCTCGACCACTTGTGGAGCAGCATCTTCAGTCGCATACTCGAGAATGTTCTTACCAGGGGGGACCATCGCCTCAGCCAGCTCAATATTCCCAAAGTGTAGCGCGTACTTGACTCCTCGGTCTGTGTAGCCCTGGCTGATCTTGTGCGCAACGTTATCATATAGCCAACGGACAACGTCAAACTTCCCATTCGCCGCTGCTTCCGCCACGACGTAGTCTCTCCAGTGGACTCGATTGTCATCTCGTTCGTCTTGCTCAGAGAGGTCTCGGCAGTTGTCGCTCTTGGCCAGCAAGAACTTGACGACAGGCAGGTGGCCATTCACCGCAGCAGCTTCAATCGCTTCCGCTGGCACCTCGCAACCCGAGAAATGGCCAAACAGCCACTGCACCACCTCAAGTCGCCACGGTTGGCAGCTACCAGCACAGATACAATGAACTCCCAGTGGTAATAGTGGGGTTCTGACCGAAGATAATTGCTTAGAGACCAGTCCACGGATCTCGTGGCCTTCGAGGTGCAGCTGGCTTCCCACATTAAAGCAAGCAGCTTGAGCGATCTCATGGTGCAAGTTTGATGCGACAGCGTTGCTGAGGGACCGACAAAGCTGGAAATTGTGTTACCAACGAAAGGATCTAAATGTAAGTTTCTCAGTAAACCACCTCAAGCTTCTCAGTAAACCAACCTCGTATGTATCTTCTTGATCCGCTTGGCAGCTCCGGGGTTCAATAGCCAAGGCAAGTGAAGCCACTTCACCACCTCGAGATGGCCATTCGCAGCAGCGCAATCCATTGCGTCCGTCGTGCACCCCTCGCTTCTGTTTTCATGCAGCCATTGTACGACTAGAAGGTGTCCGTTCGCAGCTGCGTCATCCATATCGTCCGTAGAAGCCCAACAAGAACGGCGTGCAAACCTGTCGTCCGTAACATGTCGGTAGATACCGCCACAAGCTGCGTGCACCAACGTACCATACGACTCCCATGCCACAGTCCCGTGTCTATCCTGTTGCTGCACTTTTGCTGTCTTTGGTACAAACCCAGGGACGGATTCCAAGCTGTGAAAGTATTTCAGCAACTCCAGATTCCCACGCCTCGCGGCTTCATCTAGCACGGCGTAGTCTGACACGTGCTCAGATTGCGGGAAGTTGGACGCACTTCATGTCATTCTTCGCCACCGCTTCAACCAGGGCGTTCTCATAGCGATCGGCAGCTCTTAAATCATGTAGACATTGCATCACGGCAGCGCTTCCGTGGACGGCAGCATGCCACATCAGATCGGAAAGAGTTCCCTTGTTCTCCATAAGTTTACGAACTCCACGCCACATAGGATGCTCAATCATCCAGCGTACTATCGCACAGTGTCCATGGCGACAAGCAGCAAGCAGAGCGTCTCTCCAGGCTTCTGCCATAGTTTGATATGCAGCTCGTAGTATTTCGAAAGTCGCTGCAGCAGATCCACCTCGAGCAACCGAGGACAACAACAATGCGTCAAGATCTTGGTATCGCTCGAAAAAGTCAGCATCCAGCATTTTCTCGATCACCTGAGCAGACTGCACGTCCACTCCGACAAAGTCCAGCATTGTGCGGTCACTAGGCAGAAAGAACTCGGCGAGCTCCAAGTCGCCCGTTTCCATCGCCATAATGACTGCGTCTCTGACAGCCTCTTCGTCGTTTTGGCCGGGAACATTGGTGTACAGCCAGCGAGCAATACCCTGATGCCCATTCCGGACAGCTTCCGCCATGATAGATGGTCGACGATCTCGACCTTGATTCTTCCAAAGGACGACATGACCTCCACCAGCGCTTTTTGTAGTTCCTCCTTCACCTGCTTCACCACTTTCTATAGCCAGTTTACTCTTCTTGGCCTTTGGTTCTTGAATCTCTTGACTGCTGGTGTCGTACTTCAGCAAGAGTTGCAAAATGGCTACATGTCCCTTGCTGGCAGGGATGGGTACTTCGCAGTCTTGAAAATGAGTCAGCAGCCACTCCATAATGGCTACATCTCCTCGCTTTGCAGCCACTTCCGTGACCATGGCGAATTCCAAAGGGGCCCGAGCGGAGGTAACGTAGAATACCGAATAGTATACCGTCTACTAATGTTATACAGTACCCTACAGAGGCACATAGGGTACTATATTCGAAGGTACCATATTCCCACGTCACGAATGTATTCCCAGTTACAGGTAACCTTCAGGAGACATCGAAATCGCAATTAGCGATGGTACAAAAGCTTCTCAAAAACAAAACACTTCTTTGGAAGTTTTTCGCTCTTCACAAGTTTTAAGAATGTAGGCAGACATTTGTTCGTTTCAATTTGACTAGAACATCATTTCGTAGTTCTCCAGTTGCACATTACCGGCCAGATGCTGCGGCTGCGAAGCAGCCGCAGTAGATGGCCGTAGTTATCATCAACTGACCGTGCTTCTTGACTCAAATTTTGTCCTAGGTTAGATTTGGTGCTACAAAACCGCCATCCACAGGCGTCTCCTGCGCCTGTTTCGCAGCCGCAGCATCTGCCTGCCTCCGACTGCTAGGGTTCTCGAAAGCTGCAGTGTGCGTAGTTCCACAGGCAGTTCTCCAACTACTGCACCGACCTCTAAAGAATATACAACAGGTTTGATACAAACGCGAATTAGAAGTAAACGCGTCGACTTTCAAAGAGTTTTAGATTGCGGAGGGCTGCACCTGAACAGCTTTAGTGTAAACTATGGTTGCCTTTATTTGATTCTTATACAGATCAGGTCTAGGATTTGAACATGCTGATTATGAGACTGAATCGAAAGACCTGAACCAAACAACCACAGCAGTGGAACATGCCACGACAATTCTTCTCCATGCTCCGTTCATGTACCTGTCCTACTATGCATTGGCCAGGTTTGTTGCAGTTAAAGGTGTTCCATGTGAGTGGCTACTCCGAATGAGCAAACGTTGTGCAGTGGCAATCCCCGATGTCTCACTATCGCTGCTAGCTACATCTAACTGTAAGTTAGTCCATGTATCATAATGCCTGCGTCCTTAGTTGCAATGTTATGCTGCTCTTCCGAGATTCTAGCCACAGCAAAACGCATTGGCGGTAGCTTCACATGCTGGACATTCTCTACGTTGGTATGGTGTATTAGAATGTAAAAAACCATCGTGGGAAACAACACGAAGTCTACAGTACAGGGCGCCGATACGTGTAAACCCAGTAACTAGGATATCCAATTGCTTTACTAAGGCGTAGTAAAGTACAACCTCGTACCCGAAGTGCACAACGCTGCTGAAGACGTTGTCAAAGACGCATACGTTTGCATAACTTCGGAGCAATACATAGTGTTCGAACTTCGAACTTCGAAGCAATTATATTCGTGTCGATATGAAAACTACGTGGTATGCAGACTTTACTATCCTTCTACTTGGATCAGGGCGGCGAAACTTGATCTTTACTACAATGTCGCTCTCTTTGCCCTCGCTCATTATAAACAGCTCGAACGTCTGTGTGAGCTACGGCGACCTGCGCCTTGCCCACCAACGCGTCGCTGTCCGTATCCTCGCCGCAGAGTTTGTACACATGTCGAGCAGCACGAAGCGTGGAGCGGGCTTGAGGCTGCTGTCGTCGTCATTCTGAGGCTGGTGCGGATGTGGGAGTGCAGGCCTCCATCTTGACTAGGTTTCCTCACTCTTCTCGTTTGTAGTCACTGTAGACAACGTCGTAGCGCATGGCGGGACTGGACTCGAGCTCCAAGCGAAGCAGCTGGACCCCCCATGTCTCCGTCCGAGGTGCTCGTGGGCGGCGAAGCAGTAGGCCACCCCCCGGTCGGCCGTCGGAGGGGGACGCAGACATAGAGAGCAGCACTTGTCGATGAAGTCGCTCGTGCAGCGAAACTCTGTTGGACGCCATTTTCCTCCTGCGTCTGGGATCCCCCTATTCATATCGATACCACAGCATGCACACCATCCCAGCGCTGGCGGTGTCCACTGGCTCGGGTGCCTCGAGATGGGCTCCGCTGCGCGTAGGAACTTTTGATCACAGGGTGCGTGGTCAGTCGGGCGCGATGCACGGTGGGCGTGCCTGCTTCCTCCTCCTCCTTGAAATGCATCCGCCGTCTCGTGTCCAACGGCGACTTTTCTGGTGACGAGCCCGCGGAGGCCGCGCGCGCTTTCCATAGGTGCGCCGCCGGCTGCTATTGCTGCACCTGCATCTCCCAGCTCACGCTGTGGTTGCCGGTAGGTGGAGAGGGGGCTCACTCCATGACGTGCTGGACAGTTAGGGCTGGAAAGCTCGACATCACCGAGGAGCTGGCATGTCGAGGATGCTTGCCGGTGCCGTGGCAGCCACTGCGCTGAGGCTCGGCAACTTTCGTAGTGTCGGCTCTTGCGATCAAAACATGGCGAATGTGAGCCAATCACGAGATCATGAAAAAAGTACCCTCTGATCAAATCCAAGACCTGTTCTGCATAAGACCCATTGGAGACCAGGCTAAAGCATGGGGATGCGTAGTTCGAAGTTGGGGGGGGGGGGTCAAGCTAATCTCTGCGCGCGGACGTTGGTTTCAGAATTCCATAGTGAATGATTCGAGCTGGCAGACGGATGGAGTAGCTACTGATTTATTGAATCGGTTATGGCGGGAATCTCGAATGCTCCGCAGGCGAATACAGAGAGTGCGTGAATGATCAATCCATGAGTGCGGCGCTCCGTCCCGAGTGCCTGACTGCAGCAGCAGCTAGTCGTAGTAGCTCCGGCAGTAGCGGCGGCGACATCGACAACCGTGTTGCGGCGACGACCGCTTCATGGCGGAGCGATCGTCGAGATCATGTGGAGCTTGCTGTCGACCTGGCAGCAATCGTTGTAGACGCGGAGTTTAGTCGGCACGACCGTCACAATTGAGGCCGGCGGTGGTAGCATCGGGTTGTCCTTCTTGATGTCGTACAGTGACAGCGTGATGAGGTATTTATTTGCTTCAAATGTGTTCTTGCGCTGCGCATCTTGGTAGACCTGCACGACAATGATGTGTGGTGTAGGGAACATCACGTTTTGTGTCACACTCCAATGCCGCAGTGGAACAACGTACCAGGAGCCAAGTACTACTCGGCGGGCTATACCAAAGATCAACGCTCAAGCAAATCACACCTTCCCTGAACGAGGGCGTCGAGCTGCCGTTGCGGGCGTTTCTGGCCACTCGAATTCGGAAAATGTGAACTCAGAGTGTTTGCGACAGAGCTGATTGGACGAAACCAAGCGTACGACACATCCGGTTGGCCAGGTCACTCACCAATCCGGCTCGTAGCATGGCCGGGGCAGTTGTGGTGTAGGGAACATCGCGTTTTGTGTCACACTCCAATGCCGCAGTGGAACAACGTACCAGGAGCCAAGTACTACTCGGCGGGATGACCGTCCGCCGAGCTCAGTGGGCAAGAATGCGCTGATGGACCGCTGAACTCGGCTGATGGTGTCAGAAACTCAAGGCACACCGGCCCCGACCTGGTGACACGTGGCAGGACCAGTGATGAAGACCCAGCAGAGTTCAGGAAGGCACTGGACACGCTCAGCCGAGGTCATGGGGAGTTCAAGCCGCCGAGCTCGGCTAAACGGCACCACGTACCATCCAGATACGGTAACCGGGTCCAATTGAGTCCGGGAGTCGCCCAGTCGAGTCCAAGGGTCGCTTCGCCGAGTTCGTCGTGTTATCCGGACACCTTATCCGGCTCCGCCGAGTTCACTGGGTTATCCGGACATCTTATTCGGCTCAGCCGAGTTCGCCAGGTTATCCGGACACGCCGTATCCGGCTCAGCCGAGTTGAAGGGGTTATCCGGACAGGTTATCCGGCTTAGCCGAGCTCAAGCGTCGCCGAGCTCGGTGAAGAGTCGGCCGAGATCCAAAACCGCCCACTTTCATTTGGTATTTGTATAGAAGCTTAGGAATAGTGGAGGCGCCCCTTCAGGGCGCCCGACAGAGATAACAAACAACAGAGCAGAATTTTCTAGGTCCACAACACGTGCACGCGCTTCCAGTAAGCCCCTGCACGGCCCGGATTATGTCTGCTGTCAGCACCCGAGAGACATAGCTTGTAGGGTGTTGACTGGTAGCGCCAAGAGATTAAGGTCGGCCTGGGTTGGGCGCGTGTCTCGCCAAGCGCGAAGGAAAAGTCTCGCCAACGCTGCGAGCCGGTGTTCCCGTACGTCCCGGGCACTGATTGCTGAGTCGAGAAGCCTTTGCTCTCGGCGACCCGTAAAAGCCCGCGAGGACCGTCGTCCGTCCTTTGGCGGAGGGCACGGGATTTCTAATTCCGGAGTCAGGTAACTCAGCTGGCTTCCGTGATTGACTGGCTTGGGGTACTTGGTCTCGGCGAGGACGAGACATCACTGTCCCGGAAGGGCCGACCCGCTGGGGGACATCTCAGCGCAAGCCAACAAGGGCCGACTACCTCGGCTGTTATTGTGTTTGTAGCTAGGGTGCCACATCTGACGATTTTGTGCGTGCCACTACACCACAACTGGTGCCGCGACCCGGGAGCAGGGTGGTTTGTTTTCGTTGGTACCAAGTCAACCAAGTTTCGAGTACTGAGCAAGATGGTTAAGGGGAGATCGTTGCCGAACTGGGCCAGCCCAGCGACGGCTGGGGGTTCGCTTCACACGAAGTCGAACTCAGCTGGCGGAAGGATCGCCGACATGACGATGGAAGCGGTCCCAACCGTTCGGTTTGGCGACGACCACACCCAAGACCGAGGAAGAGATGGAAATATTGGAGATTATGATGAAGAATGGAAGAAAGCCGAGTTGCTCAGCGGGGTAGCTGAGTTCTCGCTGCATGTTGGGCGCATGGAGAAACCTCGACGAGCCCAACAAAACCTCGCAGCCGAGCTCGGTGACGATGCGGACGACGACAGTCAAGACGTCGCTTCAGGGGACCGTACGCCTCTGATACAACGAGCGACGAGGGCATCAAGCGCGAAATGTCCGAGTTGGGATTCGGCGCCAAACGTCTCGTGGGAAACCTTTCCACTCGACTAGGGACAATCGAAGAAATGTGAAACCCGTCTGCAAATGGTGCAAGTTGCAGATGCGGTCTAAGGCTATTGCACCAAAGAGATGATCCGCCGACTCAGTGAAGACAGCAGGCTGGGTCGAGTCAAAGAATGATACTGCGTCAACTGTATGGATTATATGAATTACATGATATCGAAATGGAGTGAGCGAAGATGGAGCTGGAAAGCAAGTAGCCCATTCGCCGGGTTAGCGTTGGAGTCGGCGCGAAGTCTCAGCCGAGTTGCCGAGCTGAGCGATTAAGCCCAGCTGGGCTGACGACGGCCCTGTGAAGAAGCTGAGGGAGGTGATGGTGCGTCTGCACAGATTGAGCGAGTCAGCCGTCGATGCCGAAGCTGTGTTGACTCGTCACTGGGTCCGTGAACACGCTACCAACTGGAGCACCGTGTGTGATATGCGGCGGTACGATCGACACCCTTGGGTACGACCCCCGGGACCTCCGACCAAGTCGGTGAACGATCTTCCCGTTGCGCGCTCAAGCTGAGTTGGAGCGCAGGTATGCTGGCGCGAAGAGGTGCTGATATGGAGCCACGCTCAAGCTGGAAAGCCGAAGCGAAGTCGGTGTTCCTGTGAGGCCGTAATCACACCATGTTTACCGAGAGACGACTAGTCGAGTCGGTCGACGCGCGGCGTCGGTGAACAAACCGAAGTGGCAGCAAAACTGGACTTGAGCAGAGCCCAGCGGAGGCACGCTGGGCAGGCGCGTCGCTGAGAATGTCGACGTGCCAGCGATCTCGAACGGGAGACGAGTTGGTCCGTAGCTGAGCAGGAGCAGACACCTGCTTTGAAGATGGACTCCGACTTCAATCGATCCGATATAGGGCTACCACCGAGTTTAACTGCGGTCAGCCTGAAGCCGAGTCGGTGAAATCGCCGAGTCACGGCGTTGCAAAAGTGTACCCAACATCCAAAGCTGGACTGAAGAGGAATGGATTCCACGCGGCCGCGGTCGTATTCACATTGAGCCAACATGAGCAGAGCTTGGTCAGGGGTCGAACATAGCCGAGTCGAAACACGCCTTCAAAGCGCCGATACTTCCGCCATGGGACTGAGCTGGTCAGCCAGCCAGCTGTGTCGTTCGCTCAGCCGAGCTTGCCTATCACCTTGCTCAACTGGGCTAAGCTGAAGCGGAATCAATGCCAGGTCGACATGAGTCGAGCTATACCCGGGTTGATTCGTGGCACCGCCACAGAACATGGGGATCAAGTGGCGCCTAGTCGAATTGCAGCAGAGGTTTGTCTTGGATCCGAGCTGAATCGGGATCAGGTATAAGTGCAGCCGAGGTCAGCACCAACTGAGTTGAACCACAGTCATGCTGAAGCCGAGATGCGTTCAAGCAAAGCCGATTTGAAGCGAGACAGCGCATTCTGCGTGGAAGTAGTTTGACACCGAGATGTCGTGAAGCCGAGTTCAACCAAGCCGGAACGGAGCCGAGTTCGAGCAACGCATCGAAGAAGCGCTGGTCGTTGGAGTGGAGCCGATTGAAGAGCAACCTTGCTGAAGCAAAGCCACGATCAAGTTGGGCCGCCTCGCGTCCAGTTCCAGTGGGAACGCATACATCTCGTTCTTGCGCCCGGTTCTCGTCGGATTCCAGCCGAGACGGCGTAGGTCGAGCCGACGTTATGCGCAGCCGCAGCCGCGTCCGAGCAGAGCTGAGCTGAAGCGAAACCGAGATCACACTGCGTCCAAATGTGGTCGCGTTCGCACTGGGTTGCTGCGAAGCCGAGAACATTGGAGTGCGATCAAGCTGGAATGGGGTGCCGAGTTCCAGCGGTGCCGCGTGTTGGATGGCGCCAATCTGAAGTGTACTCACTTCAACGGAAGGAATCACTGGGCTGAGTTGCGGTACGCCGAGTTTCAGTGAGATCGCGTTCGGAAGTTCGCCGAGTTGAGTGCTGGTAAACGCACCATCTTCCGATTGATGAGCGCTCATGCCGAGTTCGAGGTGTAGCCGAGCTGAGTCTGAATACGCTTCACAGCTGAACCGAAGATACCGAATTCAAACTGAGTTTGAACGCAGCCGAGCTCGCGGCGAGCCGAGTTAGAATGTGACCGAATGAAGTGCTGTTCCAGTCGAGCTTGCCCACCATCTTCCCAACCAAGATGAGCCGAGTCGGGGTAAGCTGGTCTAACAGAGCTGGAGACATGCCGAAGTCAAGGTCCGTTGACCACTGAACCCAGCTCGGCCCGTTCAGGACAACTCGACTGGAGCATCAAACGCATCAGGATCGCCTTGTTCGTCTACAAAATGACACAGCAACGATGAGAGCTAACTCAAAAGTGAGTGGGGCAAACACTTACCAGGCTAGTTGAGTCGATCAAGCGGAGGCTGCGTTCAAGTCCAGCCGAGTTCAAGGTGAGCGGATAGCAGCTAGTCATCAGGACAGCCGAGTTCGGACACAGCTGCGTTCAACTTGCTGCTGCACTTCTCGCCGATAAGCTCAGCTGGGTTGGATTTCGAGCTCAGCGCGGCCCGATCGGGGAAGCGTTTCTTGACCCGCCGAGTTCCCGGTGTCTTGTAGCATGCCAAGACAACTATCAGGCTCCACTCGACGCACCGAAACGAGAGGCACGTGCTTACCTGGTCAGCCGAGTCGCTGGCAGCAGCCATGGCTGCTCATTTTGACGGAGACAGCGATGCTCGGCTTCGTCGGTATTGCAGCCAATCGAGCACTTCCCCGACACCTGCATCACCTACTTGCTTTGCTGCGGCAGGCCCAACATCACCGATAGTACTCCAAGCTTCGACAGGGGCACCAGCTGACTTCGACTGGTTCAGTTCCTGCTACCGACTGCCACGCCGAGACGACCATCCAGGCTGATTCGCTGCTGAAGTGACCCGACGACGGGGTTTGGTGCGAGCGATAGGGGCATCTACATGTGTACTGACCCATGAGGCGCGGAGTCCACGCATCAGACAAGGGCTATACCAAAGATCAACGCTCAAGCAAATCACACCTTCCCTGAACGAGGGCGTCGAGCTGCCGTTGCGGGCGTTTCTGGCCACTCGAATTCGGAAAATGTGAACTCAGAGTGTTTGCGACAGAGCTGATTGGACGAAACCAAGCGTACGACACATCCGGTTGGCCAGGTCACTCACCAATCCGGCTCGTAGCATGGCCGGGGCAGTTGTGGTGTAGGGAACATCGCGTTTTGTGTCACACTCCAATGCCGCAGTGGAACAACGTACCAGGAGCCAAGTACTACTCGGCGGGATGACCGTCCGCCGAGCTCAGTGGGCAAGAATGCGCTGATGGACCGCTGAACTCGGCTGATGGTGTCAGAAACTCAAGGCACACCGGCCCCGACCTGGTGACACGCTAAAAATATGTACATAAACAACAATAAAGAATAAACAAAATGTATTAAAATTAAAAAAATTTAAGATGCTTTAAATTTAGGTTTTAGTGGTGTAATGTTACGTGGATCAGGTATTTCATGGGATTTACGAAAAACACAACCTTATGAAATTTATGATCAATTAGAATTTGATGTACCTGTAATCAAGAGAACGTAAAATTAAAGCTTCTTATTTATTTTTTATGTATACATTGGCAGGACCAGTGATGAAGACCCAGCAGAGTTCAGGAAGGCACTGGACACGCTCAGCCGAGGTCATGGGGAGTTCAAGCCGCCGAGCTCGGCTAAACGGCACCACGTACCATCCAGATACGGTAACCGGGTCCAATTGAGTCCGGGAGTCGCCCAGTCGAGTCCAAGGGTCGCTTCGCCGAGTTCGTCGTGTTATCCGGACACCTTATCCGGCTCCGCCGAGTTCACTGGGTTATCCGGACATCTTATTCGGCTCAGCCGAGTTCGCCAGGTTATCCGGACACGCCGTATCCGGCTCAGCCGAGTTGAAGGGGTTATCCGGACAGGTTATCCGGCTTAGCCGAGCTCAAGCGTCGCCGAGCTCGGTGAAGAGTCGGCCGAGATCCAAAACCGCCCACTTTCATTTGGTATTTGTATAGAAGCTTAGGAATAGTGGAGGCGCCCCTTCAGGGCGCCCGACAGAGATAACAAACAACAGAGCAGAATTTTCTAGGTCCACAACACGTGCACGCGCTTCCAGTAAGCCCCTGCACGGCCCGGATTATGTCTGCTGTCAGCACCCGAGAGACATAGCTTGTAGGGTGTTGACTGGTAGCGCCAAGAGATTAAGGTCGGCCTGGGTTGGGCGCGTGTCTCGCCAAGCGCGAAGGAAAAGTCTCGCCAACGCTGCGAGCCGGTGTTCCCGTACGTCCCGGGCACTGATTGCTGAGTCGAGAAGCCTTTGCTCTCGGCGACCCGTAAAAGCCCGCGAGGACCGTCGTCCGTCCTTTGGCGGAGGGCACGGGATTTCTAATTCCGGAGTCAGGTAACTCAGCTGGCTTCCGTGATTGACTGGCTTGGGGTACTTGGTCTCGGCGAGGACGAGACATCACTGTCCCGGAAGGGCCGACCCGCTGGGGGACATCTCAGCGCAAGCCAACAAGGGCCGACTACCTCGGCTGTTATTGTGTTTGTAGCTAGGGTGCCACATCTGACGATTTTGTGCGTGCCACTACACCACAGATGTGTCAGAGCCACATAATGCTTGAGTGGGCCCACGATGTAGTGCAGTACCTTTTGCTGGTCGGCCGGTGGCTCGGGCGCTCGCTGGTCGCCCAGATAGACGCGCAGGAAGCGCGCTCTGTGGGTGTCGTCGAGCTCCAACAATGGGTCAAAAGCACGTCGACCGACCATCCCTATCCTGCATCAACTGGACGCCGATGCGATGAGCGGCCGGCCGACGTCATTGAGCTCATCCAGAATGCGCTGGGGGCAAGCCGCGAGTGGTCACCACCACAGCCTAGCGAGCGACACGGCTGTCTACTACCAGCGGTAGACGCGTATCCGACAATCAGCAGCGTCTCGGCTGCATTCACGCTGAATTACCGTCAGCACATCGCCTTTTGCTTGATCACCACCGCGTTGCTCCGTCGGTTCGAGCAGCAAGAGCGCGCAGCCACCGACGAGTCAGCCGACTACCGAACGCCCGCCTACACGGACCGACTGCGAGACGACCAGCTGCTCATGTTCCTCGGCGGCGCCGGTGGCACGGGAAAAAGCCGCGTCATCAACGCCGTCGACTTGTTCTGCAGCGGCTGGTGCCGCAGTAAGTCCATGATCAAGACCGCGCTAACTGGTAAGGCGGCAACGCTCATCAGCGGGCGAACGCTCGCGAGCTTCCTCATCCGCCTCGAACACGCCACCAAGGAAAAGCAGTTTGCGCCGCTTGACCTGCTCGTCGTAGACGAGATCTCCATGATGAACAAGACCGAGTGGCTGAAGCTCGACCACTTGTTGCGTCGGTACATGCACGTCGACTGCGTGCCGTTCGGCGACGTGCACATCGTGCTCGTCGGCGACTTCCTGCAGATGCCGCCGATAAGGGCGGATCCAATCTCCTTGGACCCCACCTACAAGCCGCGGCCAAGCACCGCCGACCTCCAGGGCTTTGAGTTGTGGCGCCAGGTTACAACTAACATCGTTCTGGACGAGTCGGTCCGCTTTCGCGACGATCCGGAATGGGGAGAAGGCTGTCGAAATGCGCGCCTGGGGCACTGGACGCCCGAGTTCATGACAATGATCAACGCCCGCGTGTGCAACCACGAGCCGCACGAAGGCGATCCCCTCGCGACGCTTACCGACAGTGCCTGCCTGTCGTCCGCGTTCGTGACACCCGAGAACGCCACTCGGTTCGCAATCAACAACGCCTTCATGAAGGCGACCGCGTCGGTCCTGCCACGCGGAGTGTATCCGACACGCGTGGTGGCAAACTTCAAAGGTGCGCTGAATGCGCTTAGTGAGAGCGACCTGGGGTACGTGTTGATTCTCCCCGACAATCGTTTCGGACGGATGGCGCCGTCCTTGACCTCGTGGACGGCATGCCGATCCAGGTGACCCAGAACGTCGCGACGGCGAAGGGCATCGCGAACGGCACGCTCGGCCGACTCGAGTACGTCCACTTCCCGGCCGACACCGAGTTCCGGCTCACCCGTGATGCTGGAACGTCAATGATCGTGCGCCTGCCAAGCCGTGCACCTGAGTACACCGTGATCCGCGTGCCATGCCCGCAGGCCGTCGCGGTGCGGCCGGGCGTCGACCCGGAGTTGTTTCCTACCTTCTTCAACACGAAGGCCTATAAGAAGACCACTATCAGGCTCGCGCCAGCGCCCGACGGCCAGCCGCGCTCCGTTACCGTGCGACCGCAGCTATTTCACTTCGTGTGCGCGGTTGGCTCGACCGTGTACAAGGTCCAAGGGGAAACGCTGCGGTCGATGGTCGTCGTGGACTGGAAGTCGTCGATGGCCGTGATAAACAAGCCGCAACAGACTTATCTACTTGTCTCGAGGGTTACAACACGCAATGGACTACTAGCTCTACAACCCATGACGCCAAAGCTGGCAGCGTGGTCCAGGCCACCGGCGCACGCGATACAGGAAGAAGAGCGGCTAAGTGGTCTCAGCGATGCCACGTTGGCGGGTTTCCACCTGCCAGTGACCGCCAACGTGGCAGACCGTGACCCCAATCTAAGCAGCCACCCAACTCCCAGCGAAACACAATGAACCAGAACGCTTTGAAAGTCACTAACATCGATAATCAACACGTTAGCGACCACCTTGCAAGTGCATGCACATTGCACACGCACCTCTGGACTTTACTCGTGAAGCTTCGTCACTCGCTCAATGAATGCATTGGCGCGCCGTGCGCATCTTGACTAGCTGCAGCACTCAAGACTCGCGCTAAAACTGCTGTCGCCGCCCCCGACGGCGATTGCGGAGCGCGTGCGCTGTGCGAGCGCGCTCGCACGCTGTCGAGCGCTCGATCCTCTGCGGCCGCGGTCGTTCTGCAAGTGACCCACCGCCCGCAACATCTCCGTCCGATGTCGCCCGAAGGTCGCACGATCAAAACGCGCCGCCTTGGGTAGGCCCCCTACGATAGTTCTTCGAACTACGAATTTAAAAATCGTCCTAAACTATCTGGCTGTGAACAACCATGTACAACTTTCACTTCCACGATAAAAAATACTAAGTAGAAAATTGGTCTCCCAGCCAAAGCGCAGCAGCCTTGTTTAGGGGGGACTGTATTTGAGGGTACTGTATTCTTATACAGTACCCCAGTCCTTGTATTCACAGGTAACTCTAATACCTTACCGGACACTATTCGGTATTCTACGTTAATTGTGGAGAGTCCAGGACGGGGTGCGGGTCGCAGCGGAGGTGCAGCTGCAGTCCCAGACCCAGCCCAGCAGCTTCGTGGAGCCGAAGGTGCATGCCTGATGCAGCGACAGGTGGCGAGGGGGTCCCAGGAAGCTTGACATGTACGGGCCGAGGTGCTCCAGAGCGTCGGCGCAGGGCTGCTGCCGACCGCCGTAGGACGTAGCTCACGCTGAGTGGAAGCATGTTGCATTTTGGAGCTCCATCTAAAACTGGAATTGATATAAATAATTTAAATAACGATTACTAATATAATAATCGTATTATGATTACTATATTAGTTATTTTATATATTTATATCACTATATTGTCAAATATATTTTTTTGACGGCCTTTTCGGTGGTCGGCACCTTCCTTGGAGCACCGTACCCCGTGTTTTTAGTAAGCTGGGGCCGTTCAGTCACGCTTTGTACAAACTTTTGTATGGATAAATATCGTGACGGTGCCGACACATATGATTTTATACTTAGCCACTGTATGGTGGCCATGGTCCAATCAAATAGCGATGACCGATTATTATCGAATGAGAAGGGCGATAGATGGTATTTTATCCAATCATCAACGTTAGGGGTAGGTGTATGAGCCCCCGACACTCCTGCCGACGTATAATGTAGGCAGGGCTGTCGAGATATGTTATCCACCTATAGTGAAGTTAAGTAATTAGATGATCATACACATATTTTGCACGGTGCCGACACTTTACTTTGATTTTGTATTGCTTCTGTTTGCCTGTTCGAAACGTTTTGTGTGGCGCTTTCACTTGCTCTACGAATTCAACCGAGTTTCTCGGCAACGGTATTCCCGAAGCAGCATTGTGTCATGTAGAAAGCTGCTTTGGGTGAGGCATTGTTGGTGACACTATGGCCACTGCCGCTAAGGTACCGCCGTCAATACATGTAAGTGACTCCGCAGCAGTTGAGAGTTTAAAGTGGTACAAGAATTATAAATATTCACTGTTATATACATACTATTCGTGCAATATACTACAGCACTGAGCAACGCCGCGCCTGTAGAAAGCGCCATCCCACCATGCAGCGGCGGCGGCACCAGTCGCGCCACCAGTAGCAGCAGTACCCCCACCGGGAGGAGCCCCCCCCCCAAGCTCGACATCAGCGAGCGTGCCCTCCGCCGCACCCGGCGATCGACAACTCGCAGCCGCCGCGCTGCTGCTTCGGGTGCTGCTGGTTGTAATGGCGGTACTGGGACGAGGGCGGCTACTGCTGCGGTGGCGTGGTCCTGGGTTGGCTCTGCAGCTCCGCGTGCTGCTGCTGCTGCCTGCAGCGTGACGAGTGGGTGGCCGCCAGGCGCAGGCTTCTTATCGGCCGTCCTCCCTCCTCGTCTTCCTTCTCCTTCTCCTCCTCCTCCCACTCCTCGCTGTTGCCCTCCGCCGACCTCCACGCACTTGGTGCCTCTATCTTCCGCCGTGCCCTTGGTGGTCGCAGGCTTCGGGGCCTTCGGCTTGGAGGCAAGCGCCATGACGCGCGCCATCCGCGCGGGTGCGAGCACTGGCCCGACGCGTCCGTGGCCGGGTACGAGCACCGCGCGTCCGTGTGTGAGATGGCGGTGCACGTACCAGCGGGGGAGGACTGTTGTCCTTCGTGCCCTTGGCCATCTCGCCGTCCTTCGTGCGAACTCGATCAGGGGCGCCGCCACCATGCCAGAGAAATGAAAATGCAAGAAGTGTTAAGATGGCCATTTAGACCAATCGTAGAAATTCAGTATTTTAACCAATGCTCGATAGTGTCGGCAGGTGTCGGCCGCTGTCGGCACCGTCATGGTATGGTAGCATATCGCTGCGATTCTAACCCCTGAAAAATACCTTAAAGTTTGTATGGTGCTTACGGCCAATAGGAGTGTGTCATCTGCGATTCATAGCATTTACAACCAATAGACACTATCGTTGCTTAAAATTTCGACCAATTAAATCGTAGGAATGGCTGCCAACCGCTGATCTGAACATTCCAACAATATCTGGTTGGAAACGCGATTTGATATCGAGTATGCCATACAAATATCAAGTGAAGTACCAATAGAATAAATATGCATAGGTTTCCAACCCATGCCAGCTCATCTCCGACTCCATTCTGCGTTCCGACGCACACAGGCATGTCAGTGGTATCGCTAGTTCCTGCGAACAGCCAGAGAAGCAGAGCGACGGCTGTGAAGTCCTTCAAAGACTTCCTTGCGAAGAAGGAGGTGACGCTCACAGAAGTGCATGACCGTATTTCTAAGGACAGCACAGGTAGGAGTTTGTTTGTCATTCTGGATAAGTATGGGTGGTTCTTAGTGAAAAAGTAGGAAGGCGAGGAGTAGCTCTGTCCAAGAACAGTGTGCTATCTTATTTTGGCAATGATAAGAACTGGCTGGCGGATCTGTACCCGCATCAGAGCCACTGTGTGGCTAAGAAGCTGCAAAAGATGCTATCAACTCTAGATCGGTACTGTGAAAAGAGGCCGCAGCAAGGTGTCACGAAACAAGCGCCACCATGTACTAAGAAAGATATATAGACTATCATCTCGGCTCTCTACATGCACGCTTCCGCCAACTCCGACTACCTGGATGCGGCGCTAGTGGTGTTGATGTGGTACCTCTACGGTCGTGGTTCTGAGGCTGAGCAATTGGAGAAAGCCCATACCCCGGTACGAATCGTGCAGGTTTTTGAATTTTTGTATTAATTAACCCCACGAATTATGCTGACAATTCTGTGCGTATATGCTAGGCGGTTTGATATTTCTCCGCTTTAAGCGTGTGAAGACTGCTTCGCAACAGGGAACCTCCCTGTTTAAGGATCCTAACGATCCCTTCACGTGCCCGTTACACGTGCTTGTTGTCGCTCTCGCCCTTCCACCCGCTACAGGAACTCGCATCTTCCCGCAATTTGCTGCCGTACCTGCACTGTCCGCGTCCGACGACCAAGACGACGATGGCGAGCTGGGGCTGATTGCGCGGCTAGACCGCGAGCTTGCGGAAGCACCTACATGCAAGACTCCACAGCCATGTCGAGCCAATTCGGCCCCTGGTGCCCAAGCTTATATCAATAGACTATTAGTCACGGTTAGTGGACTGCCAGCAGCAAAGGAGAGTGGACTCACGAAGGGACTTACCTCGCACTCCTTCAGAAGAGGTGGGGCCATGCACGCCAACGTCGTCAGTCGCATAAGCCCGAACTGGGTTGTTGAACGCGGGGGCTGGAATATGTCGCGCGTGAGCAAGGCGTTTTTCTACATGCTGAACACAACACATGAAGATCAACAAGTTGCGCGTCAATTGAGCTGGTGGAACCCGCAAGCGGGCGCCCGACTTCCAGACCTTACCGCCCTGGACGGAGTCGTCCGAGCGCGCGTGGAGTAGCTGCAGGATCTCCTCTTCGCTGCGGTCACTGGTTTCCCGACAGTGTCTTGGAACTTGGATCGTCAGGTGCTCGAAGTGTTGATGGCGACCTTGATCCTTCACTTCCCCGAGATGGAACGCCATCGCTTGGATAGCCCGTACGCCCGTCGCATTCATGAAGCCCTTGGTGTCCTCAACATACAGGCCTCCGAGCTGTTGGCATGGTCTATCACCCTCCGAGCTGCATTCAATCCACCTGCAGTAGAGAAACACGAAACAGCGGCCGAGTCCTCTCAAAACATGAGCCGTGTTCTCGAAAAGCTGTCGCAGGAGCTCGACGAGCTATTGCTCCGCCAAACACACGTAGAGGAAAGGCTGGCTGTTTGTGGGGCGAACGAAGAATCTATTGACAAGAAAACAAACACTACCGAGCAGCAGCACGAAGACGTTGAACAGTCGCAGCCAAAGCGCGCGCGCAAACGTGCGTCCAAAGCGCTATCGATAGTGTGGTTCGAGTGGTTCACAGCTGTACCACGCATGTACGAATCAACAACAGTTAGCAAAGCCATCCTTCACGAGTCACGACACGCAGTTGCATTCATGATGCTCTGCTTACCTTCTGGGTTCAAGCTGGATCCGGCCTCGCCAGCGTACAAGACGGAGGTCCACGCTGTTGGAGTCGAAGCCGAGAAGAAGACGCTTGAATACTTGGCTTCACAAGGCTCACAGGCTGTAGCCGTTGGCTCGGTCGTCAAAGCCATGCCTGCGCTTCACAAAGCAGTCCACCTTTCCGTTCTCCTTGACCAGTTTCGCGAGCGCTACTATGAAGGCGAAGTCGTCTACCCGACACCCAATTCCGCCCTTCCGCCATTCCTGCGCTTCATCTAAATGCACACGCAGCACACTAAACAGCCAATAAGATACACAATACGTACAACAGGAGTAGCGTGCACTCTCTTAGCCGACCTGTCCAAAAAGAAAGCAAAAACACATAATACTTGATGCCCATGTCGGGGTTTGGACCCGAACCTCCAGGCCCGAAGGCCTGGCGCTCAACCTCACGAGCTCCATGGGCGCGGGTAAGTCGCATCCATCAACAGCAACATACTCGTCCAAACCCTCGACCACTTGAGCCACACGCCACGAGAGCGCACAGACGCAACCCAACACACGTCCCAGCAGCGCACATAGCCCAGCAGCAAGTGGCCCGGCGTCAGTAGCACACACGGCCCAGCAGCCCACACGACCCAGCAGCACAGACGGCCCAGCAGCACAGACGGCCCAGCAGCCTAACCTGGAAGCTTCTGGACTATTGGCCGAGAATCCAATCGGCGGTCGTGAGGCGGTCGTGAGGTTAAATATCAGCTGAGCAAAAAACCTAATACCGTTGCTAGGCCGGTTTTGGTTGGAAGCAGTCCAACCCCGTTGGAATTTTGACGGTATGGTAGCCTACCATTTTGATCCCACCATTGGACCAATGATTGGTAGGATCAAAATGGGATGGGTAACGTACCTACAATAGAAGCCCTGTGTGTACCACACTAGAGGTCAAATTGCGGGGCTCCGCTCGGCTTGTAGTAGCATGCTAGTGACATACTTTTTGATCCACGAAGTATTCGTCGAATTTTTTGCAAACTGACTCGACTGGTTGTTCTCGACTGTACGTATCATACTCAAGGTCCTCTCACATTTTTGTTGACGTATCGCGCTACTTATGAAAAAAAGCACAGTTGATACCTAGTTCAACACAATCTTTGGAGCCTCCAAAACTGGAGACGTTTGGAATTAGCATAGCTACCGGAGATTACGCCAGATATTGGACCTAGGTTGGTGCATTGTGTAGGAGCTACTTCGTCCGTTCGATGCAGCAACCAAACGCAGAACCTGAGCGGCGAGACTCTAGTCGTAGCAGCAGTTGACGAAGGTCATTGCGAGATGGTTGAGCATTGTGTTACTCTGACGGCGGATAATTCTCTTCCATCCAGCTCGCTACATAGTTAAGCGGGTCGGCTTGGTCGAATGTTTGTTCTGCCGATTGACGCCAAAACCTTTTAATGACATGCGACGTGATCGCAGCCGGGAGATTTCCGTGCAGGAACAACAAGATATCAAAATCGCCTTTCGGTACCTTGACGTACTCGGGGATGGCGCCTGGGAAATGCGCGTGCAGCCAGTAGGCAACATTCAAGTGTCCATAGTATAAAGCATTCTCCATAGCCTTGCTTGTGTACCCCTCCGACCGATTACGGTGTAGCCGCTTAATCACTTCCAAATGAGACAACGGCAACAAAAATGTTACTTATCCACCATTTAGAGTTATCGAGATAATCGCCTTAAAAGAGGCCAGGTTCAAAATCGTTTCTAAACGAAGTCGTGAGAAAACGAGGAGTTTTGATTTTCAAAAATTTGAAGGGGGTGTATCAGCACGGATACCATTTCGAAAAGCCACTCGGACCACTACCTACAGCCATGCAGACACCACCCACGACGCCGACAGCACCGACCTCGCGCGCTGCAGCGCCAACTGCGCAGCCTGCGCAACCTCCAGCGCTGCCTCTCTCAGCCTCGCCACCGGCCACCTCGGCGCCAAGCCCGCCAGCCACGGCTCCTACTCCGCCAGCCGCGACGTCGGGTCCGCCAGCCACGACATCGCCCTCCCAGGCGCTCACTCCGCCGGCCACAACGTCCCCCTCCACGGCGCTGACTCTGTCGGCCACGGCACCCCTTGGTGCTCGACGTCGCGAAGCAGACGAAGAGCCTGATTCTGCCGACGATTCTGTCTGTGGTGTCGATCCCACTGCTACCAGTGAGAGTGAGGTGAACGAGGACAGCAGCGACGACGACTTTACGCCTGATTCTGAGGCGTCGCCCAGCGACGACAAGGAACCGCTCGCAGCAGAGAGCGCGAGCAGTGAAGCCGAAGATGAAGAGGATATCAGTATCATTTTGAATGACGCGAGTCCTCGAGCCCGTGTGACTGAGGTGATTCATGCGGACGCGTGTGAGAACGAGTGCGTCAAGTGCAAGGCTCGTGAGTTGGAGTTCTTGCTGTGCTCGCTGGACCAGATGACAAAGCAAGAGCGCACCACGAGCTTGTACACGCTCCTGGCGGCGTTGATGCAGACCCCCACGGTTGAGCGTAAGAGAGGACGGGGTGACCGTGAGAAGTTTCCGTACATCCTCCCCTACGTAGGTCATGTGTGCCGACCCACTTTCGCGCCCTGCTATGGAGTAGTCCCCCTTACCTTGCAGCGCTACAAGATGCACATCCGAGCCGGTAACATGTCAATCAAGGCGCATGGTAACCGGCTCAACACGCATGCTGCTCGTAGAGGCTGTTAGTTCGGCGTCCAAGAGCTCAATCACGGTGCATCTGCCTCGCGGAAGCTCAGCGTTCAAGTCCTACAAACCTATTCTCACCGAATTGTACAATCGACTTGACGGCATCCAGAAGTTCCAGATTTTCACGATGGGCGCATCGCAGCCGGGCGTCGTTGTCTGCAAGAATGGCCCCGAGAGCGAACCTGTAGAGACTAGTTTGAGCCGTCAAATTGACGGAATCTTCACCACGAAGGAGATGGTGCAGCGGATGATGACGGACCATATCGAGACGCTGTCCCCTCCTGTCCGCAACACCGAGAAAATTGCGCAGATGTACCACAACAGCAGGCCCTACGTTCTTGCTGAGTTTCAGAGCGATCCCCTCTACGCCAAGCCTAGCGACCAGGAAGGAGAAGATGCCAAGTATCGGAAACAAGCACGACGTGAGCATCGCGCGGCAATGGCCGTGGCGGCTAAGGCTAACCAAGACCAGCGTGGTATCACGGAGGCTGTTGCGACGAAAAAGAACCCAGCAAAGAAGAGGGCTACTGCAGCAAACAAGACGCAAAAGAACAAGAAGCACAAAGCTACTGCGGATCTGCCTGCTGAGCAAGAATAGGCAGCCCAAGGTTGTAGTCGATCATTATGATACTTATGTCCACAGTTCATTCAAAATGTTACTTACATCCAGATATCAAATTTTCTAAAAACAAATCAAAAATATACCCCTGGTGATTTGAAGTGACGGCACAAAAGTGAGATTCTAACACTGTTAGGCTTCGAATTAGCTAAAAACGGACAACATTGTCGGATTCGCTGACTAATTTTACACCAGTTCATCAAAAAAAAAAAAATTCCCTTTCGGGGTTCAAGTCGGACATATTTTTTGACGGTCTTCTCTCTTTCCAATTATGCGCCTAAATCGCGATTCGTACTTAGGTTGATAAGTAACATTTTGTTTGCCGTCGTCTCAAATATCCCCCTGCAGCCGCCAAATTTATCGCGTCGGTCGTGCACCCTTCTCCCCGATTAAAATGCAGCCATTTAACCATATCAAGATGCCCAGCCGATGCAGCGCGGTCCATGGCTTGATCGGAGCATTTATCCGCTCGAACCGAGTGTAGCCATTTAACGACATCAAGGTGTCCAGCTGATGCGGCTTCTTGGATTGCACACGGAGAAGGCCTCGGCTTGCGGTTCATCTGCAGCCATTCGAGTACGTCTAGTTGGCCGTTAGCAGCTGCCAGGCTCACAAGGTCCCCCAGACCGTTCCACCATTTGTCTTCAGGGGTGGTAGTCTTCCGCTTGCACTTTAGCGTCGACTTGACAAGCTCTGGTGAATTAATTTTCTGAAATAGGGACAGAATCTCCACCCGCCCACTTCTTACGGCTTGATGTGTCAATCGACCAGCATCACCCTTTTCTGCGTACCAGTTCGGATCCTGCAAAACCTCCACGACCTTCGTGTGACCCTTGCGGACGGCGATGAGCATCGCGTTTCCGGATATATCAACAGCACCTTGGTCCTGAAGACATTCCACAACCTTGATATGCCCTTCTGCGGCTGCTACTTGGAGTAGGTGGTCTATGTGTCGGGTTTCTTTGAGCTGCTCGCACTTCTTACGCCCGATCGGATGTTCCACCAACCACGTAACAAGCTCTAGGTCACCGGAAATACACGCCTTCTGCTGCGCTTCGCCCCAGTATGGAAGCCAGATTGTATCGTCGTCCTCGAAGTTTGGGTACAGCTTCAAAACCCGCTTCATCAGCTCCAAGTCGCCAAAACCTGCCAAATCCTGGAAAGCAGAAGCTGCAACATGTTCATCTTTCGGGAGATAGCCCATATCAGCATCCACTGGATCTACTCCAGCGACGGTGACAGCCGGTCGTAGTCTAAGTCACATGTAGTTCCGTCAGTAGGAAGGAAGCAATCCGCCAGGTCAACGTCCCCGGCACTCAGAGCACATTCAATAATTCGAACTCTTTGGAGCTCGTCAATGTCATGAACCTCGTTCTCGTACAGCCATCGAAGAGTTTCCATTTGCCCATTCTCTGCAGCTTTCAACATCACGGAATCCCCCCAGTGCACCACGCTTTTCGCTCCAGAAGAATGATGTTGACAAATTGTCCCCACTCCTTTAGCTCCACCTATATCTTCCGCTTCCGATTTAAACAAAATGAGAAACTGCAGCATTTCCGGGTGTCCGTTCTTGGCTGCAACATTCACCACATCAGAAGGAGCCTCACATCCGAAGAAGTGCTCGAACAACCACGTGGCAATTGCCAAATCCCCCCGACCCGCAGCAACCTCCAACGATTTAGCGAATTGCCACCGGTTACAGTGAGTATCTGACCGGAGGAAGTTGTGGAGAGACCAGGGAGAGGTTCGAGTACTGGCTGAAACGCAGCTAGAATTCCAGATCAAAACGAGTAGCTTCACAGACCCGAAATTGTAGGCTTCCCATAGTGGCAGGCAGGGCGTCGGCCCGAGAAAACTTGAAAAGATGTGGATACAAGATTCGAGGTTGTATACGAAAGGATACGGCTTTAGAACGAGCTCCAAGCACCTGAGCATGGTTTCTGCTCAATGAGGCAAAAGAAATAGTAAGACTCGGGGAAAATTGAGACCTGAGGATGAAAGATTGAGACCGATCGCATCGTTTGTAAGTAATTTTTTAAAGGATCTTCAGCCTACTACGTATTGTATACTGCACGGTGATTTATCACAGCCAATTGACTCGATTACCTGACTCACTTCGAGGGATGTTCAAAGAGCACCTTCCCCGATGTTTAACAGTGCTGCGGTACGATTAGGGCAGTAGCGACCAATGAACTGGACTAATCACATAAGGCGATCTAACAATTGTGTCGCCTCTTGCAACGGGAGACCGCAAGAAGGAGGCAAATCCGCGCATCGGCGTCTCGTAGGAGTTTACCGTCTTCGGCCCAAGATGCCCAAGGTACAGGCTCCAATACCCACGACTCAGTGCAAACCTTTATAGTTAGCAGTTAGAGTAAGTAGACGTTCTCTTCACCAATTTGGAGCGAATCATCAGTTGTTAGATAGAACAAATTCATTTCCACGGTATTTCTCACCGCCAACCAACCCACTTGAGGCTGCAGGCAGTTGCTCGCATAATCGAAAATGTCTTTGCCTCCAGGTTCCAACACTCTGGCTAGCTCGCACAGTTTAAAGCATTTAATGGTATTTAAAATCTCCATATCATGAATCCGACGGACAAATGCGAAGTGCTGATTTTAGCGGCTGGTGGAGTGCATCACGACCCGTGTTGTAACAGTCTTCCAGGAGGATTCAGCTAGGATCAGCCATTCATAGTTCTTCAGCGCGTGGAAATCTTGGCCTTCACCATCAGATCTGCAGGCCCACAGATAATTGTCCAGCTATCGCGGCTTCTGTAATTGCCAATATAGGCACTTGACAATCGTGCAACATGCCACTTGATGATCTCCCATCCATCAACTTTCTTGACCGGGATTTCAAACGATTACCTGTAGTAGTGAAGCTCCGCGCGTGAATAATTGCAAACCGACCAGAGGTGGCGCTCGGTAGCCGACATAGATCGAGAGAACAATCTAGTCTACCAAATGCGTTGAACCTCGACTACAGGCTTCGTATACTATCGCTATACGACGTATAGCGATGAACTTTGCGATGGCCCGAGGTAATCTGGCCTCGTGCTTAAATGCGTGAACAGTTGAATCCCTGCTGCAGACGGGAGCCTATCTAAATTTGTTATGGTGAAACTTGAACAACGCATTGCTTCTCAATGCGATAAATATTGGTGATAAGTATTGAAAAGGATTACTACATGTATATGTATCCGTTGTTTTTGTTTCTTCTCCCGTGACTGTCACGCGTCAAGCGCCGGATAATGCTTCTCCAGCCAGCCCCAACGGTAGTTATTGCTTGTTTTCCGGTTGTAGCAGTATTCTTGAGTTCCTATCAGGTCAGGGTAATGCGCGTGGACGAACAGTGTCACATCGAACTCGTTCTCGTCGGAGTAACACGATAATTCCTCGGGCGCGAAGTTGGGATACGTAGCTGCCAGCCAAATGGCAACTCCAAGGTGGGCGTGAGTAAACGCCTTTTCAATCGCCTCTATTGTGCACCCCTCGCTTCTGTTGAAATGCAGCCATTTCAGCACCTATAACTTGCCATGCTTGGCGGCTCCGTCCGTTGCTGCTGTCGTGCAGCAGGCGCTTGTGTGCGTATGGAGCCATTGCACAACCTCCAAGTGACCGTGAGATGCTGCTCCGTCCATCGCTTTTGTCGTGAATCCTTCACTACGATTGGAGTGCAGCCACTTCACCACCTCGAGATGGCCGTTTGCAGCAGCGCAATCCATCGCCTCCGTTGTGCACCCCTCGCTCCTGTTTTCATGAAGCCACTGCACGACTGCAAGGTGTCCATTCGCAGCAGCGTCGTCCATGGCGTCCGTCGAGTACCAGGACGAACTCTGCTGTCTTTGGCACAAACCCAGGGACGGATTCCAAGTTGTGAAAGTATTTCAGCAACTCCAGATTCCCACGCCTCGCGGCTTCATCGAGCACGGCGTAGTCTGACACGTGTTCAGATTGCGGAAAGTTAGCGAGCAGCCAATTAATGCACTTCATGTCATTCTTCGCCACTGCTTTAACCAGCGCGTCCCCATAGCTGTCTGCGGCTTTTAAATCGTGCAGAGATTGCATCACTTCGACGCTCCCGTGGTCGGCAGCGTACCATAACAGCCGGGAAAAGGTTCTCTTGCGCTTCATGAGATTCCGGACTCCACGCCACATCGGATGCTCGATCATCCATCGCACAACAGTGCAGTGTCCGAGGCGACAAGCCACAAAGAGGGCGTCTCTCCAGCACTCCTGCCAGTGCTTGTTGCTCCGCTTGTAGTACTTCGAAGCTCGCTGTAGCAGATCTAAGCGACCAGCTTCTGCTAGATTGGGTAAAGCTAACGCGTCAATGACTTCGAATCGCTCGAAATACCCATCATCCAGCAGTTTCTCGACGACTTCGACCGAGTGTCCAGCTAATGAGACGAAGTCCAGCACAGTTTTGCCCTCAGGCAGAAAGAACTCGACGAGCTCCAAACTGCTGCTTTGCATCGCTGCTCTGACTGCGCATCCTACAGTCTCTTCATCGCTAAGTTCGGGAACATTGCCGCTTTGGATAGCGTCTTTCATAATAGACGGTCGCCAATGTCGATCTCGATTCTTCCAAAGGACAACATGGCCTCCTGCAGCGTTTTGTGAAGGCTCTCCCTCATCTGAGGCACCGCTTTCTGTAGCCACTTTCCTCTTCTTGGCGTCTGGTTCTTGAATCTCTTGGCTGCCGGTGTCGTACTTGAGCAAAAGCTGCAAAATGGCTACATGGCCCTTGCGTACAGCTTGCTCCACGGTCTCGATGGGTACTTCGCAGTCTTGAAAATGGGTCAGCAGCCACTTCATCATGGCTACATCCCCTCGCTTTGCAGTCACTTCCGTAGCCATGGCAAACTCCCAGCGGTAATAGTCGGGGTCCGAGCGCAGGTAATTGTAGAGAGACCAGGACGGACTGCGGGTAGCAGTGGAGGTGCAGCTGCTGTCCCAGATCCAGTCCAGCAGCTTCGTGGAGCCGAAGGTGCAGTGAGAGGTGGCGAGGGGGCCCCAGGAAGCTTGAGAGATGGGCCCGAGGTGCTCCAGAGCGTCGGCGCAGGGCTGCTGCCGTAGGACCTCAGAGGTAGCATTGGATCTCCATAAATAAAATACTTCTCTGGTCCACGATAATATGCGCGAATCACTCTTTCTACCATAGCTGTGCCAATTCTACTGGTAGCCAAACAAGCAAGGTAGCAACAAAAAGCTGAGATCGAGCTGAAGCACATGATATTTTTTATTAGCAGCTTCTGCGAGGCTTTGGCCGTAAAACAATCGACTGCATGAGCTCATCTGTCGATGCAATAAGTTTTTTTTCGTAAAATATAAACGACAATAGCGATACTAGATCCAATAATTGCCTCGGATTGTGCTTGATACAAGCTTTCTTATGATCTTCGATTTAGAGGCATCAGCGTTGATTTGTGAGAGCTAGAGCCTCAAATAAAAACGAGGTTTTTCCTGCTTGCACGGCTGGGATTCGCTCGATCTCAGCTTACTGTTGCTACCTTGCTTGTTTGGCTACCAGTAGAATTGGCACAGCTATGGTAGAAAACGAGTGATTCGCGCATATTATCGTGGACCAGAGAAGTACAGCCTTCCGCAAGTGGTCTAGCCAGATAGATAGTGTAGATTGATTATTCGCGCTATTCTTCCTTTAGCATGACCGCTACAGTTTGAGCACGCACTGATGGATCCTCCATAGCTCCGAGCAGTTTATCACGGATAGCTAACAGGTCTCTCGGTAACTTGATCGTGGGGTGAAGTTGCTTGAACAGTTTTCCTAGTTGGAGCAGGTCGTGTCGGAACGTCAGCTGCTCTCCTTCGCATGGGTGGTTCCATTCGATGGTCGTCGTCTCCGGCCGACGGGATTCGTCCATGTCAATGAGCACCCAGCGTCCGGAATTGGTGCCATCCGGAACGTGCACAATGTTCCTCCAGCACACGTCGCCGTGGCAGTAGTTGCACCCATGCCAGAAGCTCAGCGCAGTCAGCATCCCTGTCACCCACTCACGCACTCCCTTGACGTCTACAGGCTCTCGACACGAGCCTAACGGTGTCAGTCGAACTACGAGCTTGTACTCAGTGTGTAGCTCCAGCGACTCCACAGTCTGAAGGTGCGTTCTCTCAGTGTCGTTGCTGTTACCCAGATCTTGCAGAGTCTTGTATATGCACACCAGTCTCTCGAACGCTTCGTCGTCCTCACACTGTCGCCGCTCGATCGTGCGCTCAATTGCGCCGTCCACCAGCTCGATGGTGCATTTCTCGCCCTCGACGGGCGTGTACGGTGTAAGTTGTGTCAGTCGGCGGAACTTGGACACGGTGATCATCCGCTCGAGCAGGAACGGCAAGTTGTAGAACACCTTGATGGCATCTGCCACCAGCCGCCGGATCGAGCGAATTTGTAGCACCAGCCCCGCGTAGAGGTCCTCACCAACCACCACAATACCGAGCCAGTCGCCACTCGTGACGTAGCCCAGTGTGTAGGGAAGGTCGCCGTAGAACATGCGGCTCCATTCACGCATTTTCGTCGCGAGCCGCGCGCGTGGGGTGCCCAACCAGACGCGGGTGTCTGCCTCTTCACCACGCAGCACCACTAACCCTTGAAGGTGCACAATGACATCAGGTCGGAGGTTCTCGCCAGCCGCGTCCCTGCTGCGACTCCGATGCTGCGTGACGTCGAGGCCTCTGCTGTGGAGCAGTACCGTCGGGATGCGGAGCAGCCCGTCGTAAAACTTTTGCCTGGTCGCCGTAGATGCAGTTGGATCCATGGGCAAGCTGCAGCCGATCGAGAACGCGTCGAACAGCACTGCGAGAGACTTGACAGCGGACCTTTGGACCATCTTGGTTGCATATTCTGTCGGCGAGCGCCGTGTCCGCCATTTGCAGGCGGAAGGGCAGAGGTCGCCGGAGGATGGCGGCTATCTCCTCGGTTTGTTTTTGTAGCTGCGTCAGCGTCAGCTCTGAAAAGTCCCACACACCTGAAAGACCGATGCTCTCAATGGCTTCGTCGTCGTCCGAGAGTCGGCGTTTCTTCGTGAGGGGTTCCTCCTCGAGGAGCTCGACGAGCAAGTGGATCTCGTTGGGTTCGGGCGAGAAGTCTGCTCCGAAAGACAAGGGGTCGTTGAGCTGAGCGAGTAGCGGCAATGGGTCGTACTTGTGGCTCACGGGGCCGCGCAGCAGCTTTCGAGCGTCGTCATCGTGAGGCAGGTACTTGCCAGTCACATCTCGTGCCAGGTAGAGCACGACACGCCCCTGCTGGGTGCCGAGCTCACTGACTACGATATTTCCAAGATGTAGTGCAGTGGCGGTGAGCGCGGCCTTCACGGGGCGGACTCTGCCGTCGCCGTATAGACCGCATGACAGCGTTACCATTTCTTGGTTGTTCATCTGGACCGGGAATCGATAAATGAGCAACGATTATCTCTAGCTCAGCGAGATCGTGTCCACCGCGTGGAAACGAAAAAAAAACTATAGGGCCAGTTACAGACAGAAACAAATCCATCACGAAACAATAACTACGTGGGCCCGGATAAACGTTTCAAGTCAATAGGTGCCAATCTACGATAGTCAGCTGCGCTTGAGGGGATGGAGGGGATTTACCTCCCCGCGGTTTGCTCCAGATTGCTTGAGGATTCACACAAATCTTCGGATCATTTGGCAAGTATAGCGCTAGTCGAGAGAGACTCACTGGGCTCCTCCAAATTTTTTTTCTGAGGAATGATGATAAAGAGTTCTGATTCACATGCCAAAGAATTGGTAAAATAGCCTACTGCATGAAAAATCGTATCGCGAAGCAAATGCGATGCTACCTCATAGTTCTCGGAAAAGGTCTCCTCATGGATTCTACGGGGTTCTAGTAAAGCTCACGATAAGGGCTGAACAGTTCTCGAGGACTGGACGTGCGGTGAGGCCCACATCTAATTTTTTGGGCTGCATCTCGAAACCCGGGCGAATATTCCCACGGGTCGTCCAGAAATCCACCAAGTAACGTTTCCAACATGACCTGGAGTGATGCATTTTGATCGATGCAATGGTCAATCGACTACTTGATTGATAGCAAAAGAATGTATTTAGAAGAAAAAAAAATGACTTCACTACTATTAACTCTGCCTCTGAGTGCCATGGCGACCGAGTGGGCATTCCTGGAGCCTTGGCGTGCTGTGTTGCGGAAGCATGTGATACAAGAGAGTACACATGCAGCTGAATCCTCTCTGAAGGTCATATTTGCCTTCCCAGAGAACACCTCAAGGACGAGCCTACGTATAAATCTTGGGCTTCTAGGGGACGGGTGCAGTCAGCTGGATGTTGCAAGCCTTCATCGAATTCGAGAAGCCATGGAGCTGTTCACCTTGCTTTCGCTTGTGAACAACAGAGCTTTAATCCAGCTCGTGAGATCACCGACGGGAATTCAGCCGTCGCAGACTGATGGTGAACATTGCACTTTCTATCCAGAATGGGTATTCCGGTTAACGCGGGCTCGGATGTCGAACGATATTGCAGCAGTCGAGACTGAAGTCACATGGGGAGAGGTTCTTGGATTTCCAAACGATCCGTGGAAGTATTCACGTGATTTTCGTGATACAGCTCTGAAATTAAACGCAATGCGGGTGGAAGAGACAAGAAAAGCGTGTGAACGTAGCAAGTCGTCGGTGTACTGGGATTACAGATTTCAAGGTTCCCATGTTGATTGCAGACAGCAACCTGCCAAATCAGCGGATTCTTCGGACTCAATTTGGAGCGAATTCGGGAGACTATTTGATGTTATCCTTCCTCCTATTGCGCGGCTGTATCTAACTGGACATTTCGGCTCGCTGAATAGCACAAGAAGACCAGTCAGCGAATCATGCGACGTCCTAGCCGCGATCCGGAATTGGGCTCATCCCGTTGCTGTCCCAACGTTGACGAAGGCATTCGCAGCAACGGCAATATCAGACTTGTCGATTGACCTCGAAGGGGCGAGCATGACTTCGCTTCAAACCACAGTGAATATTGGGTTCTGTTTGAACACGTTACTGTGCCGTAGCTCGGTGCGTCTTACGGATCAAAACGACAACCAACTTGTTCACGATATCGGTCCTGTAAGTTTTGGGAAACTGGATTTGTGGGGTTTTGGGATATGCGATCGGATGTTCGCGGCAATGTGCTCGGCAGCCGCGGAGTTGTCTGCCGAGGCTCATCTTGATAACATGGACATGCACTTAGAAGGCTCCGGACGATGGTCATGGTTGATTTACGCGGTCTGCTGTGGAGGATCCGAAGTGGAGATACCTTCGGTCGAGGTTTGTTGGGGCACGTTGACGAGGTTCGACATCCGAGCCATCACCGCAGTACTGCACACCAACTATCCTCAGCCAATCTTGGGAACATCCCAAAATGGCCGCCACCAGTTCGGATTTGTCGACATTCTAGAAGGAGCCGAGCTGCGCCTCCGCGAAGTAAATGGTGGTGATGAGTGTGTTGTTGTTGTGTCGAAAGCATGCCGCTGCCGAGCGCTTTATGACCCAACTGAAGGCGAATTGGTGAATGTTATCGTTCCTGGATATGGTGCTTGTAAGGCAAAACTTGGGGCCAGTTCTCGATTCACTCCCGATTGTAGGAAATCAAACTTCCCAAGAAAGCGGTTAACCGGTTCGTTTGCGATTCGAAATACTACGATCGAGAGCCCTGCGGTGCTGATGGATCTGCTTGCCTTGGTTACTAGCGGTCTCCGTTCGTTATTGCTACGCGCCAGAACCCCGACTCAATTGGATCTGAGTTTGCTCTGCATCGCATGCCCAGATCTGCAAGAGTTGTTCACCAGAAACTTTAATGTGAAGGTGGCTGTCCAGGATGAATCACTGGGTCGCTGGCCCATCAAAAGGATAGACTTTATGGATTGTACAGGTACGCTAGCCGACTTGACGAGTTGTTTGAGGAACAAATCACTGCGATTGGCTCGGGAACTTGTGCATCTTCAAGTTAGGCCACCACGACGTTTAACGTATGACGACGCAGCAGCGAGCGAATTGATGGCCCATGACGGTGAGATCTTGCCAGTCACAAAAGACAAGCTTCCTGCCCAGTCAAAGGCTGCCATGATCAGCGTCGTCACAAGCACATGCGAAGCCTTGAGACCGATTCACCGTCTTGATGCGTACATTCTGAGCCTCGTTTTCGTATTCGCGTCAACTCCGGGACAGCGGGCGGTAATTTGCTCGTAGTGAGCGAGATGGGATTGAGACGACCAGTATTCGAAAAGACCGTGCTCGATGTTTTGCGTTATACTCCTAGCCTACTGATGCATTTGACACAACATATTCGTGATACATCCGAGTTTTCATGGAAACACATTTTTCATGTCAGTTAGTAAGAATTCTGAAGAAATTTAACTATCGGGATAGACAAATATTACTTTTGAAGATAATTCAGTGGCCGTCGAGGCTCCAGAAACTCTATCGAAAGCAATTTACTAAGGTATGGAATCGATCAGCAGCTTTCATTTCTACAGATTAAAAAAAACGAGTGACATCATCATGAGCACCACGGGGTAGCTAACTCGGTACGTTGTTTAGTCTGAGCGATAAACAGAAATCTAGCAATAATTGACTTTTGTTATTCCTTGTTGGATTCTGAATTCTGAATCAGCTGCTGCTCTATATAATTGAAATTCGAGTCGACAAAATTTTTGGGTGACCACAACAAGGTGGAAAGACGAGTTATCAGTTTCGTGTTCTTACTCAGCTCGAGGCTTGAACTGCCGACACCAGTACACTACCGACCGCTGTTCTGGAGTGGACGCGAATACAAAGATGAGGCTGAGCATGTATGCGTCGAGACGGTGAATCGGCTTCGTTGCGCTGCTGGACGCACTCAATACAACACTGATCATCGCAGCCTTCGACGTGGTGGGGAATTTCACCATCGTGACAGGCAGGAACTCACCATCATGAGTCTTTAGTTCGTTTACTTCAGCTTCATCATATCCATGCCGTCGTGCTGTCACTTCAAGTATAACGAGTTGTCGAGCCATTCGTAGCGTCGAGGTTCTCAAACACCTCGTTAAGTCAGACAGAGAACCCGAATGCTCGTGTAAGCATAGCGTCTTAATAGACCAGCGACAAAGTGCATCGTCGTGGGACGAGATCACAACGTTCATTTCAGAGACGTAGAGATACTGAAGTTCTGGACACGCGGTAGCCAGCGCGCACAAGTCGACATGAATCGCAGTGGTGGCGGGGTCCTCAGCGTCACCACATAACGTCAAAGAACGAAGTCCGCTGGTGACTAGTGCTAGTAGATCCGTCAATACCTTGGGGCTCTGGAAAGTGACATACTTTATTGTCAGGGATCCACTCAATCGTTTGAATCGGAAGTAGGAATTTCCACAGTCGGGGATGAATCGGACATTCCCACTACCAAGCTTGGATTTGCGAGCACCGTGTCCAGGCACAATAAAATTTACCCACTCCTCGTCTTCAGGGTCGTAAAGCGCTCGGCAACGACACGCGCTTGTCGCAACAAACTCGTTCTCTTCGTCGTTATTTACGCCACAAACACGCACCTCCGCCCCTTCTTCAATCTCAATGAAGCCGTACTGCCGGAGGATTGTTGTGTCCGATTTCACGATTGGTTGAGGATAGTTGGTCTTAAGTACTGCGTGAATGGTTGAAATATCGGACTTGGTCAATGTGCCACGTGAAATCTCGACGGAAGGTACAAGAACATCAGCAGGACCGCAGCAGAGCGCATATATCGGCCACGGCCATCGTCTAGAGCCGTCTAAGCCCATCCACAAGGACGAGAGATTTGCATCCAAAGACGCCTCCGCCACTGCAAATTGCAACGAACAATTTGTCTGACACCCACAAAGACGCAACACCAGGACGAAGTTACAGCACTAAGGTAAGTGCTTGGCAGGGCGCTGTTGCAGCTAATAGCTTGCTTGTATTGGATTATTAACAGCGCGGAGGTAAGAAAGTAAATTGATATTATCGCAAGTGGGTTATTGCACTAAGAAGCTGCGTATCTGGTAGTTGTGGATGTTCATAACATAATACGCACAGCG